GTTGAAAATAATAAAAATAATATTCTTCCGATGTGCGAAATGAAACGCTTCCATAAAACCGATTAACGTTTATTATTTAATCTTCGCTCGCGGTCTATGTATTTGCACGGAATGGATTCCAATAACTAACTATTACTTGTTTTCGTAATATGTTAAACTAAGTTTACTTATTCGTCACTCAAGGAATATTTGTTATTTTTAGTGGAATGCTTAACGCTTGATTTAGAAGAAGAGTTGATTTTATACGCAATATTTTTTAAGTTTTATTTTTTTTTTTTTAATTACAGATATACAATGACGAAATGTATGTGAAATTTTAAAATCGCTAAAAATGTGCGAGAAAAGATGCGGCGAAAAAACGTAAAATCGTGCTCGAAAATGTGCGCAAATATTTTTTTCAATCGTACAATGAAAGCACGAAGAAGGCGCAGCGACGCGCGTTTGGCACATAACCATTGGTTTCTCACCTAGCGTGTTTGGATATTTCCATGAATATAAAAACGCAATTCGTGTTTGCATGAAATACTGATTTTGGAACTGCATTTTTTCCCCAGTTTTCTGCATTCTCGAATATTTCGACGGTATATGGTATTTTGTGACTATAAAATTTCTCGGTTGCACGTTTGTCGCTCGACCGTTTTATTCGGATTTGTTTAAGGAAATTGTTTCGAGATCAGGATGTATCCACCACATTTATATAGATAATAATATTAATACTTCTTGAATTATATACTTATTTATATAGCAAGCCAAGAATTATATGTTTTAGCTTGTGTTATTAAATTAGTCGATGCTTGTATAAATGATTAAACAGACAATTTCTAATTTATTTAATTATTAGATGTTTATTAAATTAGATTAATTCCTGGTCTATTTAATTACATGTTTACTAAATTAGACCTATTATGACATATTATAGACATACAGTAGATAATTTAGTAGATAATTTATGCTTAATTAGATTAAAAATCTACTGCGATATACGATGATTGTGTCATACTGCCACCAGTTTCTTTTTCGTTTCTTTCTCTCTCTCTCTCTCTCTTTCTCTCTCTCTCTCTCTCTCTCCGCCATTACACCGGTCGCAGAACCGCGGCACGACGAAAGATGCAGGCGTAAGAAAAAAAGAAGCGAGTGACGGAAGAGAGGAGGTGGGGAGGGCGATTGCAGGACCAAGAACGAAAACGATATCCCGTCGGCACGTGCACGCGGTTAAAAAGGTTCACGAGGTTTCGCCGCGTCGGCCGCGGGCCTCGGCACGGTAAAAGCGGAACCGGCTGTCGTGATACGGATCTGACCAATCATAAAGGCCGCACATATACACGCGCATAATGGCCACTCATTCAACCATTCCAGTCGCGCAGCGGAACAAAGGCGGAAATTAGTCAGGTTCGTTATGCTTATTAATTGACTGACATTTCCGTCATATTATTGTACGGCGAATCGGAAACTGCTCTCTCGTATGGGGCCCTCGAGAAACGGGGCCCCCGCTTCTGTGCGCGCGCGGTGCTATTGCTACAGGACGTAGGTTTCGTTGAATGGACAAAGTCAACGATCTGAAGAAACGTGCCGACGCTTCTGTGGATAGCTTCCGCGGTTAGATTCAGAACTGAGATTATATTATAAGCTTACTGTGCAATTATAAGAATGGACTAGGTAACTATAGACCAATATGTGATATATATATTGAAAAAACTCATTTCATGGTAACCTGTCTTTCTCTAAAATCATCATTTGTTGGATTTTGATTTAAGGTAGTTCTCTTGTCCTTATACTAGAGAAAATCGATTTTCTATAAATTTTTTTGAAACTGTGAATATACCTCTTCCGGTATAAAAAATCAAGATACTGAGCCTTAAAGTTTCAATTTTTACCAAAAAAATTTTTTAATTAAATTTTTTTTAATTTTGGCATTTTTTTCTCATAGAACTCGACGAGAGGAGAAACTTTGGTCCTCTTGATTAACCTTGTATCTCTTACCGTTTGGCCTGGAAGACCTTTTCATTAGTAAAAGTTGAAACTTTGAGGCTCAGTATCTTGATTTTTTTATATCGGAAGAGGTACTGAAATTTATACCACGCATAAAGCACACCTAAATTAACGTATAGTCACAGTTTCAAGAAAATCTATAGAAAATCGATTTTCTCTAGTATAAGGACAAGAAAACTACCTTAAAGGCAACACGATTCCAATATGAAAGTGATGAAGATAAAGAAAAATTACCTTATCGTTCAGAGGGAGAGAGTAACTCATCGCTGAAATTTCAATGGAAAAAAGTTTGAATGGGCCAAATTTAATATTTCTGTATTCTGAAATATTTAATCAGAAATAAAATAACGAGATAGCGTTTGAAATTGAAGGCAAAAGAGTTTGATAGGAGAACTTTCAGGGAGAAAGCTTTGATGATGTTTCGAGAAAATTTTGAGGATAAGTTTAGCATAGGCGATTTATTATGCGATAATTACATACGTAGGTAGATATTAATTACTGATTAATGTAGCGCGTCTATTAGCGATAACATGGCCGGAGGAAAATGATACGAGCGGAATCAGATAAAAGAAAATGGAGCGCAGACGAAATGCAAGATGCGACTCGAGTGAATCGCAGAAAAATTACACATAAATGAGAAGTTTTTCATATAACGTATGTTAACGTATAAAAGGCACAAAAAGATATGAACATTATGGCATCTGTGCTCTGTGCGCTCAAAGAGAACGCATTCGTGTACGAAAATCCCTTTTTCGTACGCGTGGTGAACCGTTATCATGTTACGTCTAAATATCCTTTATTCATATTGTTAGCCAACGTGCAAAAAATATCTGAAATGTACAACAATTTTTTTTCTTATTATTTTCAATAAGATATTATTTGGATGAAGGAAAGACGATTGCAAATTATTGTTTTCCTCGTTGCGTGTACGACATAACTTTCGTGCACAGCGCGCTGTCGTTTTCAAAAACTACCATCTTTCGACACACGATATCTCGTTATCTGTGAATATGGAGGAGAATCGAAAAATGCTGGTATGATACATGCGAGGGGATAAAGCAATTACGTGGATTCACTAATAACGATGCCCGTAGCACATGCTGCTATCTCTTTCTCTCTCTCTCTCTCTCTCCGACAGTCCATCCTCGTTAAATATAAACTCGAAACAATGATTTTCTGTTATGTTCTAACAACTATAACTATAAAACTGCCTCTTTCATATTATAAGCGTATTAAAAAATTTTTCTATCACCTTTCTCTCCCGCCCGAAGGGTTTAAAATCACACCCGCGATTACATCTTGCAATTATATATCTGATGAAAAAAATGGAAAGTTTTTATTTTTATATGAGCAATAATTCGTACGTTTCAAACGTCAGAAAGCCCTCTGCAAACGCGCGATGTTCTATCGCGTATTCATTTTATGCACCCCTCGCGAGAAGCTGGTAGAAAATGGCGACCGGCCGATTCTAAAAAGGGTAAAGGGCTCGTGTAATGGAGCTTGGGGATTTCTTAATGATGCTGTCGTTGCTGACGCGAGCTCTGCTATGTTTATCCTCCGCTAAGGGACGACACACGTGAAAAAAGGAGGGAGGGGGCGTATCGGTACCGACGTGCAGCTGTGCCCGATATCATGTACCTATATCCCTCGCGGAGGGTGGCAAGCTACATCGGCGAGGGAATAATGCCACGGGGGTGCCGGAACGGTTTCATTACACGGCTTCCCGAGGGATAATATCCCGGGATATCTCTCCGCGGTCGACCCCACGGGGGTGAAATTCCGTGCCATCAACCCACCTCGCATGAGAGATGAACCCTCTGTGCGGCGACCCCTTGGTGGAGGAGCATCAGCCTGAGCAACCCCTTTGGAGGGCACAGCGCGTTTCGGAGCGAGCGAGGGAGGAAATTGCAGCAACCGACCACACTGGGGCAAGGGATCGCCGTGCGGCGACAGTAAAATGGCCGATGGCCTAGCGCGTGGCGATTGGAAATACGAAGGCGCTATTTTAATAACGGTATACAGCGCGAGAGCGGGTTACACCGTTTTTGGCATGTCTATTCTCTCTCGAGAGCTATAGAAAGAACGATACGCGGCGAACTCAGTAACACAAAACGGACGCTGTTATCCATTTCCAGCTTCATTCTCTTTTGTTCCTAGATATGAGTTTTTTAAAGTTGAAGGAATATATGATCTCAATAGGTTTATTTTTAGACGGATTATGGGATTATCTTTGTTTAATAAAAATGACGGAAGAAGTCTCACGAAAATGATCGCATATTGACGTCTTATGGAACGTATTTTTCTTCTTTTTTTTTTTCAAGTCGGCACCCTTTGAAGCTGCCACACGTATATCGCCTACCTCGATGCCATTATATCGCGCTCGCGCTCGCGCGCGCGTTGCGATTAGTATTTAATGCGCACAATGTATAGGAAAGGGTCCTTTTTCCCGTATCAGATGCGGGGCGGGCCTTAGACCAGTTATTAGCCCGCTGACAGGCCCGTATAATCCGACTGCTTCTCGTAATGTACAGAACGAAAAATATAATGCCTATTAGCGAGGATCTTTTCAACGCGGCTCGTGTTGCCCCCGGGATTTTTTCTTTGCCTTTATTTCTTTTTCCCTCGCATCGGCAGCGCGTTGGTTCGCGCATAGTAATTTTCATGTCTCCCTTTCCGCGCGTTTTACGTCTAAATCTCGTGTCGGCAGTCTGACTGTGATGGTAAAATATAGGTCAGAGAACAATTTTTTTTCTTCGTATAATGTCAACATCGAAAAATTTAAATAAATTATTTTGTCAGAGAAGGACAAAAAAGATATTGTAATTGATAATTTATTATATATAGTTATACAAAGTATAACTTGTTTGTATATTTTTTGAATTTTTATTTCGGCAGTTTTTGATCGTACCAAATAATTTTTTTATCGTAAAATTTTGTTTACCTAAGAAGCACATTTTTTTACCAAGAATTTCTACCATTTCTTGATAATATTTAATATTTTTCTGTTTCAGAGAAAATATTCCAAGGAGGCGATGGGATGGATACAGGTGAGTAACACAGAAATATATTTTTCTTCTATTATTCCTCGTCAATACAATCCACCGATCGACCAAAAATGTCGCTCGCTCGAAATTCACCTGTGTTCACCTGTTACGTTTAAAACACGGTCGGATAGGATAACGCGTTTGTTAATGAAAATGCTGCCGAGTTGTTCGAAAGAGAGAGAGATTTCCGTCAGTTTTACGTGGTTTAGTGAATACATTGTATCCTCGGACACGAAACGAAACGTTGCGCGAGCCGTTCCAGGTGTCTGCTCCTATTGTAGTTGGCGATACTCGAAAAGCACAAAGCGAATATGATGTAACATAATTCGAGCAGTTCAAGCGCGAAGACCCGCCGCAGTTATTATATTTAATACAGCATCCTGATCTGCTAGCATCTGCCCGCGGCGCGCTTCTTTATCGCGAACGAGAGGGATATACTCTCTCAAGAACTTAAACATGCAACGACGTGACGAATGTATTCGTGTAATCAATACATTTTTGCTGTTGAAAGATTCTGTGCTTTTGAAGAAATACTATTACTAACATTAATATTTTTATTTTGCGCAATTCTAATTTTTTTCTTATTTTAATCAATAAAAATTAACTATGCTCCGCGGGGAATACATTTTTTTCTTAACCATGGATTTAATTAACACCTCAAGAATTTGAGCAAAGTTTCTCTGTCCATTTAACGATGGCATGAATAAATAAAGTGTAATAACATAAGAATGAAGGAAAGAGACACCTGATTATTTAACTTTAATTAGTAATGGACAGTTGACGACAGCATAATAGGTTGTAAAAATGAATTTACAATTGCAATGCAGACTATAGTTTTCGGTTCGTTAGCAATCGCGGGACCGCATGCGGATTTGCGCCGGTGAAAATTACTGCGCATTCTGGAATAATCAAAATCATATATTATTTGTAAATTACGGTTAATGATTATCATTATCTTTGATTTGAATGTAACTAATGTTACATTTGCAACACTAATACGCGCCGTCCATTATTCATGAGCTCTCGAAATAATATCAGCGTACCCGCACATCTCAACGTGATCGAGTGCATCGGACTGATATATATAATTCAATAACGGAATCATTTACTCTTTCATTAGCGCGATTTTGCGCTAATCTTGTCGCGCTCGAATTTTTTTCGTTACGCGACGTGTTTTTTGAGGGAGCGAAAAATGTGTACTAAGAAACGCGTATATTATTATCTCTCAGTCGCGAAGAAAGTTGGAGAGAAAATTTAATCCGATTTTACGCGGAAGGCATAAGGTATTTTCCCAGCGTTGACATTCGCAGTCGCGACGAATATCTTGATGGTGCGGAGCTTGATAGCTGGTGTCGAAGCGCGAACATATATCCATCCCTCGATTCCCATCCATTACGTAACTCCGAAAAATCATCGACGCGACCTATCGGCGGTAACATTACCGACCAGCCATCGCCGCCGCCACCTCCGTCATCTTCGTCCTCGTTGTTGTCGTTGTCGTTTGCGACCTCATATTCCGTCCCACGGGGGGACGTGTCGGGGGTTGCGCGGCAGCGCGGCAGTGCGGTAGGGTGGGTAATGTCGGGAAATGCAGCTAACGAAGTTTACGAAGACACTTAACGGAATTACGCCCTTGCTCGCAATGGTCCCCGACATCGTCCCTTTCCCCTCGTCCCCCTCGTGCACCCCCGCGCGCGCGCACCGTCCGAGCCATCCGCCGCAAGCGTCCCTTTACACTTTTCCGGCGGCAGGAAGGTCGCGTTAATTACCGACGGAGGCAAGAAGCCGGGGAAACGGTGGCAAGATATTTCGTCCTCGACGCTGAGCGTCGATGGTTAGGAAAGTCGGCTATGGGGGCGGGCGATGAAGGACGGCGAGAGGGGGAGGGGAGAGGGGGTAGCCGGAAGTGGGAGCGGGTCGGGAAGGGGTCGGTTTGCGCTGAAGAAGGGTGTTATTGACATGGTGGGTGTCGCGTCGTCGGCCATCTTGGGCCGCCGCGCGGTCTCCCCGCCGCCGTCACCTCCACCTCCTCGTCCTCCTCCTCGTTTTCCTCTTCCTCCCAACCGCCGCCCGCCGCCCGCCGTCCACCCTCTCTTCGTCGCATTCGCTCTGCTCCCCATCGCATCCGAAGGACATCCTTGTGTTCCCTTGTACCGAGTGACATTCGGGCTGCGTGCCCAGCCTAACCTGCCCGGCGGACGCCCTGGGCCACCCTTTTCGACCAACCCCGGCAACGAGCTGCGAGGGTCCCGGGGGCTGCTTGTCGCCATGGCGACCGAACCCTCGCCCAACCCCCTCAACCAAACGCCGATTCCCTATCCCTCGGCACTTCGCTACCCTCTTCCGTCACCCTTCCTCCTCGTCGCGCGCGTCGTTCACGCTGCCGTCCTCGTCGCCAAAGAGAGAGTCTTTCGATATCCTGCGCATCACTTTGACGGCGTTCTCCTTTTTCTCATCGTGCTCCTTTTGTCTGCTTTTTCTCGCTCGTCCTCCATTTCTTCATCCTCTTTGTTGGATAGCTAAATGCCAATCTTCGATTTTTGGAATTTGTGTTGTTCTTTCTTCCATCATAGTTCATTCTTGTCCATATCTTTTTCTTCTTGAGTAATTTTGAATTTTTATTTTTTTAGTGTCTTTGTAGTGTTCATCATGTTTGAACCAAATAATATTTTTCAATGATGAATCCTTCGTTCCTGCTGTTTTTTTTCTTCTTATCACTTGCAACTTTTGTTACTTTTAATATTTCTCAATCTTATATTTCACAATATCACATCTCTTACGATCACTCTAATTTTTTGTTTCTGATTAATAAATTGTTTTAATATGTTCATATTTAAATGAAGAAAATTATAATTGTTTATTTTTGGTTTTGCTTCTTGTAAAATTGTATTTTTAATAAGATACGAAATATAATTTTATTTATACGCATATTTCTCGAAGTGTTTTCTTCAATGCAGCATCAATACCGATAAAAATTCGGCGTCCAATATTGATAGTCCGAATATAATTAATGGTTAACAACACTTCCCTATATTGATTAAAAAGGAACATCGGCGTTTTTGCTCAAAATGCGAGTTGCGGTTTCGGTGTTACGCGAATTTAATGGCCTGCGCTGCAAAAAAATGTCCGGCGGTGTTTGGAATTGGTTAGCTGGTGGTGGCGTTAATTCCGCTAATTATATCGAAGAGCCAATCTCGGGGGGGAAACTCCGCACAATCTTCCTTTTGTCTTCCTAACGGGGGGCGACCCTTTTATCAGACATTCTCGAAGGCACAGTCGCCCGCCCTTCAACCCCCGCGGAATTGGCGGATATTAGGAAGGACTTCGTCGCGGCTTTTGTCTCGTTTGGCCACAAAGTTTCGCGAAGCACCACAATCCCGACCAATTAGCAACGATTTCCTAAAATCAAGTCATAACCGCGAGCTAATTGGCACTTGACATTCAACTCACTCCCTCGTCTGTCGCGAGAAACTCTTAAACCACAATCATCGATGATAAATGCTCCAATTAATTGTATGGCTCCAATTAAAAGAGCCCTCAACCCTTGGGAAGATTTTATACTCTGGTGTATTGTGTATTGCATTCCGATTTTTTTTTTAATTATCTTAGGAATGGAACAAGCACAATCAGTTATATCTAGGGCTGCATTTATTACGAATATATATTCGCGAATTTTTATTTATATCGAATATTTATCTTTTTTTTCTTTTATTTAAAAGGCAGCAATCAGTTGATACACCATTAGTCGATCTTTTTAACCAACTTCATGGCCGACCAGTTGTTTAAGACATAACTACATTTACGTTATTATATATACGTCATTTGTTTTAAAATTATCACTAGATTTCTAATTGTTACACCGAGCAGAGTCTAAACCTTAAGACCGAAACGTTTGTAATTTATATATATGTTTATAAGTTACTGTTTTGTAATTTATATTTTTCACTTTAATCAGAATTTTTTGCTTTTATTTGCCTCGTGTTTCAAAGTTGATTGTATATCTAGAGAGCATTTTCTTGACTTTGATTTATATTGAAATGTAAATATGTTGTATTACGTCGAAACTTTTATTTATATTGAAATATCCCTCTTAGAGAAATCAATAAGAAGATCACTAATAGCACAAAGAGTGTATTCAGAACCATTGTCTATGGGATAGAATTTTCAGCGTCCTATGCATTCGCGTAAAAACAAATACTCGATATATTGGGAGACAAGTATCGACGTTTCAATGGCGTTGAAATAGTTTAAAGACTCGCGGGGTCCGAGAGACGTGACGGAACGTTGGAATAAACTCGACCGGGCCGTGTTCGCCATATACCAGCTGCATCGCGGGCAAAACAAGAAGACGCCTGTCATCGGGCACGACGATCCGTAGAAGACGCATCGGAATGCGATTCTGCAAATGCGCAACCGTGGCCTCCATTCACGGGGAACGCGTCGCGTCGTCGCGGCCAGCTACGGTTTTAAAATACGGGAACGAATGTGGGTAATCGTGCGGAATGACAACGCGATACGATTAATTAATGCCGATGGAAGCGTCGAGTTCGTATTCGTGTCGAGTTCGTGGCGATAGGACCGGAAGCGCGCGCCGAGCGCGTAACAAAAAAAAAGGAGAAGAATCGCAGCCTTTATGTACGCGAATCAACTGTTTATTCAGCGTATATGGCGAAAACGAGAGAAAGAGGAGAAAGAGATGGAACGAAAGCGGGGCGAGGGGGAGGACCGGGGGAGGAGAGGCTGCGCGGGGGAGGAGGGAATGCAGCAACAGCAAGCGCGAGTGATCGACGTGAAACGAGTTCATTCATGCTTGGATGTTGTAATCCTGAATGGACGTAGAATGGATCGAAACTGTGCGATCAGCCTAGATTGGGCTGACTTGATATATATATATATTTTTTTTTATTTGTAGGATAATTTTTACGTGGAAGGTTGACGTAAATTGAACTTTCGGCGTGAGATATTGTCTTTATATGTATCTAGTTAAACATAATCACGCAGTTTCCGGTTATTCAATGATGCTGAATACGATTTTTGCGTTAGATATGTGCAATCCAAGATGAGAAAGAAACAATTATCAATTAAAACGTCGAATTTAATATCCTCCTGTGAATTAGAATTAATTTTCGGCGACCGTACGTCGTTTGACGATGCCGCGTTAAAATCCAGGCTCGTGGGCAAGGTTAAAAGGGCGCTTCTCTCTATCTCTCAAGGGTGCGATAACTTTCAGCGCTGACTGTATCGCTGGATGATGTATCCCCCGGGGGTTTTCTCCCCTTGGGTGTTGGGGTGTGTTTCGTTGCCTGGCAACGACACCCTCGAAGTCCGCGCTCTGATTGGCCCCGTCTCGCTTTTCCTGTCTTAGCCTCTCTTCTCACCCCGTCGCCAATCAGACCCCCCCCTTCCCCCTCGCCCGTGCTACCGTAGCCACCCGTTCCGTGCTCTCTCTCGCCGATGGAAACCGCCGTCGTCGGGGCGAAGTGCACACACGGGCGCGTGCAGAGGAGAAAAAAAGAAAAGAAAAAAAAAACCCGAGGAACACGCTGCAACGCGTCTACACGAACAGGAGGTATTAGGGGGGTAGTTCGGCGCAATGGCGCAACGTACGTGTATGTGCACATATGGGAAAGCGATGTAATATTATCTCGGATAAATAACACGGATCTTTTGTTACTTCTCGTATTGTTGTGCGAGTGGAATAATATGCCGAAGAGAAAGTGCGACTAGACGTTTCTTTCATCAAAGCTGACTCTTTACGTTTAATTCCCCCCGCTAATAACGCATATCTTAGCCGTTTCTTTTAATACCGAGTAGAAAGGGGGTGGGGTACCCCTAGATAACTCCGGCAAAACTTGAAACTAGTTTTCGCAGGATATACCGGAATCTTATTTGCCGTAGATTCATCCGTTCGAAATCCGATTACCGAGTAAACCGCCGCGTTTCGTTTGGCTCTCGATGTCATTGAGAGTCATTTCTATTTTTACGGCTCCGTAAATTGTACGAAAGGATTAAGGGCGATTCCATTGGCTTCCTTTTCAATGCCTTCTTCGAGTAGCCGGCTTGTTGTCGGGACTGCACAGCGCTACGAGAGGATTAAACCTTCCTATTGATCCCCGTTCAATGGATTCGTGCCCTTTCACGTGCCAGCATTCGTAATGTTTTGACATCCTTTGCGCTCGTCTCTTCGCCTCTCTCGCTCGCTTCCTCAACGCTGGGAATATATCTCCGTGCCTCTCTAATTCGATATTCGATAATAAAATTTACTTCCCTCGAATGGAATATACACGGGGAAAATAATTTCTTTCAAAAATATATTGGTTTTATTTTTGCCGGTAAGAACTTTTATAAATGCAGTAAATTAATAATTGTTATGTATTATCTGTTTAATAGACAGTCCATGCTGCAACGATGATTCTTTAAACGAAAATTTCTTCCTTAACCCGTCGCAATACTTTGATGAAGAAATGGTCGATAAAATTTCGAGCAAGAACAAGTAAGTGCGTTATTAAATATAAGTAGTGTTTCAAATGTTTTATCTATACAGAGACTAATTGTAAAATTGAATGCCCGTTTTTTACAGAATACGAAGAGTGCCAAAAGTATATTACGGAACGCGAACTCACAAGCAAATCGAGCAGGTAGTCAGAGAATTCAAGAAGACCGCGTACAGGCACAAGAGGTAGAGCAACTCGCAAAATATCCGTTTATTAAATGAATGTATAACGAGTAAATTTCTTTAGGATGACCATATTGAGCAGCCGAAAGCAAACGTGCATTCAGCAAACCAAAAAGGATAAGAACGAGTTGTGCAACGAACTACTCGATCCGCGAAAGGTTTCTATAAGCGTTATATACTCACAGAAATTAAAAATTAAATAATTGTGTAACGACATTATTTCTGCACGTCAGGGTAAAACATGTCCATATTACAATGACCGCAGTAGGATAAGGGGGGATTCCGCATTTAAAAGTATGAAAACGCCTTGGGATATCGAGGATTTGGTCTCATTAGGCAAAAGCATCGATTCCTGCCCATATTTCGGCGCAAGATCTTTGATGGCCACCGCGGAAATCATCTTTTGTCCTTACAACTATATCCTGGATCCAGATATTCGCGAAAGCGTAAACATAAATTGTTATTAATAAAGTATCTAAAACCAGGAAATGCTATGAATAATTGTAGCAAAAATACTTTATCAATAGAATTTTTAATAGTTTTAATCTTTTTATATTAAAATAGCCTTTACACTCTTTTCTAAAGTATTAAATATCGAATAATAAAGTATATAATTAAAATATACAGATGCAAATCAATCTGAAAGGCGATATCGTGATTCTCGATGAGGCTCACAACATCGAGGATATGTGTCGGGATGCTGCCAGTGTGAATCTCAGAGATGACGAGATTACAAATGCTGTTAAAGACTGCAAACATCTTTTGTCCAAAGGCCATGAACGTGAATATGCCATTTATGATACTATACAGAACTATCTTATGGATATCGTAAATTTCCTTCAGAATATTGAAGTCAGAGATAATGTATGTACTTATCAAATAATCAATTAAATATTAATTTTAGTTTTTACATTAATTTTGTATATTATTGTGATTTATTTAAAAATTTTTTTCGTATTTCAGATATTTATTATCAATTTATAAAAATAGTTATAATCGTTATCTTTATTATAATAGAATATATATGCTTTATAGGGTTCTGATAGGGAAATGATTAGTAATACTTGGCTTGGTATGGAATTCCGGGTGTTGCTCGACGTGAATAACGTCGGATGTTCTAGATTTCCCAATTTTCTTGCCGCCACTAGAGAGGCTATAGAAGATTTTAATAAAAATATGAAGGAACCTGAGAAAATGATACTGACTATTTCGCAAGAAACTAAGAGAATTCTTGAGCACGTTTGTTTATCTATGCAAATGATTGTATCAGATATCTTAGTTGATGACTATAGGATGTGTGTCATAGAAACGATTGAACTTACTAAGAACGTTGTAAGTCCGTATATCTGAGCAGTTCAATGTAATTACAATCTGTTTAATTGTATGAAACATCACACAGTCATTTTTTATCAGGCACCCGAAGACACCTGGATCAAACCGAGTTTCAAACCGAAAGTTAAAGTGCGAACCATGAAACTGATATGTATGAATCCCGCTATAGTTTTTGCGCCTTTGGCCCGTACTGTCCGCTCTATGATAGTCACTTCGGGTACTTTGACGCCGACTACGTCGTTTCAAAGCGAACTCGGCACGCAATTCCCGCATATAGTCAATCCTAATCATATTATACCGAAGGAGCAAGTGTATGTAAGATGCATATCACGAGGGCCAAAAGGAATAGCTTTAAAGGCCGTCTATGAGAAAGTGGGCACCTATGATTTTCAGGTCAGGAGAAACGGATTGTTAATGATTTTATTTTAGACACATTACATATTATAAGTATGCGAAAATCAGTTAGGTAATAATTTTTTCCTAACGCGAGCGTGAAATGGGCCGCTTTTCGCGCTTGTTTTGAGTGAGCAAAACGATCCATTTTGCAATGATGACGTAAGCGTTGAAACATGGAGCCATTTCTCAACTAGTGGAGAAATGAAATTGTAAAACAAGCGCGAAAAGCGACCTGTTCCACGCTCTTGTTAGGAAAAATAGTATGAACAACTCGTGGGAAGAGTGGTCGAGCCCAAATGAGTGTGATGATCAACTTCACACTCATTCAGAATCGACCACTTTTTCCACTAGTTGTACAATATACTATTATCCTAATAGGACGAACTCGGGAATTTGATTCTTCAAGTATGTGACTCGGTACCATATGGTGTACTATGTTTCTTTTCGTCCTACACGACAATGAACAAGATACACGAGAGATGGGAAAAACTCGGCATATTGAAGAAACTCTCCGACTTGAAGGAAGTTTTTATAGAACCGCAAAAAAATGAAGATCTGCCCACAGTCATGAGAAATTATCGCAGAGTAATTGAGGAATCGTCGTCTAAATCGTTTCGAACAGCATGCGGAGCTATCTTGTTTGCAGTTTACAGAGGAAAAGTGGCGGAAGGAATTGATTTCAGTGATAATGAAGCTCGTTGCGTATTAGCAGTAAGTAACATTCTTAATTTTTATTTACACATTCACATGCATGTACACATGTATTTACATATGTAGTATACATTTATATATCCTTATGTCTATTAGATTGGCATACCGTATAAACCTTGTAAAAATAATGATATAAATATGAAGATGAAGTATAATGATTCGAAAGTATCCAAAGGTTTGCTATCTGGTAGCGAATGGTATGGTATCAATGCATTTAGAGCAGTAAATCAAGCAATAGGTCGTTGTGTCAGGCATATAGGCGATTGGGGGGCTGTGCTGCTAGTAGATGAAAGGTATGTATGTGTAGATATAAATTTGGGAATAGATAAAAATATTCATTATGTTGATTAAGTTTTACTATTAGATATCAGTCCAGATTGAACCATCTACCAAAATGGATAAAAACAAGTGTAAGTTTCGATTGTCAAAATAAATTATTGTAAACTATATTTACAATTTTTTACTAATAATTGATTTATATCGCAGATGAGATGTAACAATGATTACGATCTAGAAATAGAACTTCAAGATTTTGTAGCCATGCAAGCTGCACGTGAAAGAGGAGAAAAATGTATAGAGAATTAACACTTTCTTTAGAAGATATATAAAAGTCTATGCGCTGAATGAAGAACTTTTTTTTTTTATTAAAAATGATTATCTAACAATTATTATGTTACGTATTTAATTAAGCATCCTATTTATACGGATTTATTTAATGTTACATATTGGTTGTGTCCCTCTTTTCAATCATTCTTAATTGTTTTTTCTTCATCCTCTTTATTTTTGCAGTATTTTTAATCTGAAAATGACGATACAATGAGAGATTTATAATATACCCAACAAATGTACGCTATAATATACATGATGTTAGCATTTACACTTACAACTTGCACGATTTCACTCTTTTTTCTATTCTCTTCTGCTCTCTTTAAGTTTTCTCTTCTTCGTTCCTTCTTGGCCTCTTTCTCCGCCTGCTTTCGTGCCTTGATTGCCCTTGACATCTCTTTAACGCGTTTCAAATCTTCTCTCAACTTTTGTTTCTTATCAAACGACAACCGAATTCCACGCGTTTTAATTATAGAAGAAAACCTGCAACCAACATTTGTATTTGCATCATTAATTCATATCTTCATGTTTTTTTTAGTCATTTACTTATATAAAACGCTGGAATCTAATTAGATATCATTTGGAGGAAATTTGGAGAGCACATCAAATATTTTCATTTTATTAACTGAAATTATTACTGTAGAGTTTTATTATGAACGGAACATTGGACAGTTCAATGCTAAAACAGTTTCTTATCAACAAAAGATCTTTAGAGAACAGAAAACCTTCAAACAATGATATTAAAGTTAAAAAAAAAAGCTCCAAAGTGAAGGTAATGGCAAACTTACAACCCCCTCCCATAAAAATTACAGTACTATTTATTTCTAGATAATTGCTTGGTTTGTAACGCTTAAGGAAGAATTGTTTTGAGAATAATTGTATTATTACTATTTGTAACAAGCTGTAACTTACTTTGTTTTCTCTTCCTTCCATATTCTACCGGATTTCGGTTTGCCTCGCGGGATACGTTGTCTTTCACGTTTCTCAGCATTAGTCGACGACTCTGGCGTGTCTTTATTTTGCACCGGCGCCGCATTCAATATATCTTCCATACGCGTCACTTTCTCGCTCGTCATTATTCGGAAATATCGATGAAACGTGCGCTCTTGAAATACTCCAGCATGTAAACAATCTTCTCGGAGGTTAGTCTTGGTCCGTCACGTGGCGGAACTGGCGGAGAAGTGGACAATAAGCGAAGTGAAATCGCCACGAGCTTCATTACCAGCAACAGAAAATGTAACGACAAAATATAAACGCAGAAAAAAATCCAATTTTCTTTATTATCAACTTTTCTCATCTCTATTCCCTATTATTTATTCTTCTTCATCTTATATTATTATTATTTTTATTTAGTAGCACGTTTGTAGGGAGCTACTTTAATCGCAGTAGTTCAAAATTGATTTCAGTTGCTAAGTACGTTATGTTGGAACAAGATCCTGTAAAGATTGTATTCTTCTCAATGAGACGTCTCCTGGGATTTTACAAATAATTTCTTTTTATCGAAAATAATCCTCATTCGTGCACTTTGTAATTTTCGATTTTTGTCTTTGCAGGTAAATTAAACCTCGAGCACCCTGTATGTACCGACGGACGTGAACTCTATTTTTTACTGCTAGATGGTATACGTATACGTATATGATATTAGTTGCAAGCTACACGCGTATACTATACAGAGGGCTACTGAATAACCGCTACTCACGAGTCACGTCACTGACGCCACTCACTTGACTCACGACTATTTTAAGCTGCACTGGCTGAACTAGACTGAATTGGTGCAATAAGTTGAAGTGAGACAAGTATATTTTGTTTCACTCTAACTTACGGCATCAGTGTGCACTGTGCACCACTTGCACCAGTTCAGCCAGTGCAGTTAAAAAAAAAAAACACCCACTGTATCCTGTATCCCTTCATTTTTCTTCATTCATTGATGAAGGCACGTGCATTTGTGTTGATAGCACGCGTTGCTCTTCGTAAGTAAAAAACTACGATTTCTAAGGGTTCAGATTATCAGAACTTTTGATAAATTCACAGCCACAGAGTTAAATACATCAATTAAAAATCATGGAATTTCTGCAAAAAATTTCCACTGAATACTTAAGCCCTAACAGCCGACTTGATCTGAGACTCTGCGCGTCGAACCACGTGCTCCGTACGTATTCTCACTCACGTATTTTAATTACATACATATATGTATAAAGTATCTCGCGTCCTACTACGTTTGTCTATTTCGCTAAAGTCTCGACTGATCACTTGTGAAATTCACGCAGACTTGTCGGCGACCGCTGCTGGCCGGGAACTCCTATTGCAGGCACCAGAAGCATTGGTGCAGTTTGTTACTCTTGTACAAGATGATCGCGCATCCATCAGCGGGTGTGCCGCACGAATATTAGTAAATATTACCGGAGATGAGGCAGGAGCCAATGCAATGCTGATTATTTCGGAACTAGGTAATTCGACAAAGAAAGATACGACTAGGGCTACGGTCAACGTGACGCTACAAATGCTTTGGAGCATTCTTCTCTTTCTTTCTTTCTTCATTGAAAGAAAAGAGAAGAGGAATGCTTCGAAGCATTTATAGCGTTGACCGTAGCCTAGTAAGCAAGATGTTAACGGATTTGATCCTATTGGCGTCAATTATATTCGCATTAGGTTATTTCTGTTCTGTCAGTAGAACTTCCAATAATCTGACGACATTAAAGCAGCAAAAAAAATTGAGCAAAATCTGGTCACTTCATAAATAGAATATTTTGAATAATTACAAAATGGTAGATTTTTTCATTTTTTGTTGGCATTCTGCGAACGAAATTGTAGCAGACACTTTATAAAGTTTGTTTTCAACAGATTTGCCTACCCAGGGACCTAGTCAGAATTTAATAAAAACTTGTCTGAGGTAATATATTATCGTATACTTATTGTTGTATCTTCTATTCCGTTTCGGATTTTACATGTTATTTTTTGTAGGGCCATAATGGATAAATCCAGTACTCTAGCTGACGCCTGTTGCATGATACTTTCTAATATGACTAGACCGTTTCATCTGGTGAACAGAGTGATAACACTTATCGAACAAAGTAATTATTCTTGGGATGAAATAGTAGCTGCATTTACTGCAAACCAGTACAACACTACAGGCGAGAAATTGCATTATCTTGGATATGTCTTTAGCAATCTTAGTCAATCGCCACGTGTCAGAAGGTACTGCTGATAATTGATAATTGATAATTTTTGTATTTTACTAAGTTACATCTCGTAAATACATGTGTTTTAATTACAGGTATTTGATGGATCGAAATCGTTGCGTTATTCAACGGCTCTTTCCGTTCACGGAATATTCTAAAAGTCAGATTAGACGAGGCGGTGTTGTTGGTACTTTGAAAAATTGCACTTTTGACACGGAAAATCACGAGTGGTTGCTAAGCCCCGAGGTGGATTTGTTGTCATGCCTGTTGTTGCCACTTGCTGGTCCGGAAGAGTTTGACGACGAAGATAACGAAAAATTGCCAATTAATTTGCAATATCTTCCTGCAACAAAAACTCGAGAGGCTGATCCAGGTATAAGGTAAAATACAGCTCGGCAGATGAATACTTAAAAAAATCTAATGTAAAGAAACATTAACAACAGTATTTATTATTATGTTATTTCCAGACTTATACTTTTGGAAGCATTAAATCAACTCTGTGCAACAAAAGCAGGTAGAAAAATATTGAGAGAAAAAAATACATATGTCATACTTAGAGAGCTTCATAAATGGGAAAAGGATAGAAGCTGTTTATTGGCATGTGAAAATGTCGTGGATATCTTGATAAAGTAAATGTTTCCGAATAAAATTCTACTTCTAAAATTTAATTAATTGGTTTTTTTTTATATAAAAGAAATTTGTATCTTTTTGTTACAGAACCGAAGAAGAAATTGGCTTAGATAACTTGAAAGAAGTAGAGGTGCCATCTGAGTACACAGAGACATTCCATAAGATGGATGAAGACTTTATTAGCGATACATAGATAGTGCAAAAGTTTGAATTATAAATACGTATAATATTTGAAAAGTATTTCACATACAGTGTACATAATACTTATCTAAGCGAAGAAACGAGCATAAAAATGGTGATTTATAACACATTCGACTCTTTGTATTCGCGTTTCTCATATTGCACTGTCCCGTTTTATCATTAATAATAAACTATCAGGTCCGGCGTAGCAAAGAAATATCATAACTTGATTTTTATCGCTTACAGGTAAACGCTTTAAAGTTGAAATAAAATATATAAATAATTTTCATTTCCTGTAACTTATGCGCTAAAATCTTTCAACATGAAAACAGGTACAAATAAGTAGTTGCATGTTATTTATCGAGAAACGACTAATTGAATCACGATATGTTCGTGAACGATCCTTTATCGATCATAACGCGAATGGCAAGGTATTACACGAACACGTATATAATAATATTAAATACTAAATATGCGAAAGTACTGTTAAAGATAATTTTGGACTTCCATCAAGGTAAGTAGCCCAATCCAGCTTCGAGACTGATCGAACTTCTTGTACTTGACGCGTTACTAGCCCTTCTCGAAATACGATTGTTCTCACCCGCGCCGAAAACCGCGGCGATCTCGGCGCTTTTTTTTATGGAGAGCGCTTCGTGATGCGCTCCGGATCTCCCGCTACCGCGGGAGGAATACTTCTTGTCCCGTTCCGCGCCACCGACGTAAACCAAACGGCCCTGAGTATCTCTGGCGCTAACCACGAGGACTTTCTCGCTGCCGGACGACTGCTGAGATCTTCTCCCTGGGCTGAAGAGATCGTAATCCAAGGCCAAGTTATCCGAACTGCCGCAAACTGGCGACGATCGAGTCTGCGATAGAATTCGTACAAAGAGATTTTAATATGACTGTCAAAATTAAAATAAGATTAACAGTTAACATAAAGTTCCTTGGCTACCTTGAGGCAATCGGTGTTGCGTGATGAACTGTGACTACTGGTGAGTCTCGAACCTCTGATCCTCTCAGGACTGTCTCCTCTGCTGAGCGTGCTCTCCGCCGGCACGATTCCCTTCTGCCTGAGTTGCTCCAGTATAGTCGGCTGTATCGGTTTCCTCGCGCAGTAACACTTGTTGCTCTCGGAGCAACTGTCCGTGTCGCAAGCGCAAACGACCGTGTTTCCTGAGACAGGCGTAGCCTGTACTCTCCTGGACAACGAGCAGTAACACTTATCCGCCGACACGCACGTACACGACTCGGAGTCGTAGCTGCATTCGCTGCAGCTCACGTATCCGCTGCTGCTCCTGTTCGCGGTGGCACCCATGCTGCGACTCAATCGTCTACCTGCGTAGTTTTATAATTATTACGCGTCAATAAGTACAAACTATACCGAAATTCAGATATTTTGTTATATTATACTATATTATTATAATATATATTTTGTTTTACTTTATAACATTTTGAGAAATTGGAACGTACTAAAGGTGTAGACAAGTATGATTAATTTAGATTTTAATTGTAATATTTCTACAAACATGTATCGCTGTCTTCCGAAGTCGTGTGGCACATCCCGTTCTTGCTTGTCCTCCGCGAGGATTTTCTCCTACCGAGTCTGCTCGCCAGCACTCGGTTCCGATGATTATTCCTGACGTCGCATGACGAACTACTGCCGAAGCTATCGTTTAATCTTCTTGCCGGGAATATCACGGAGGTAAATTCTGTGGGACCACCTTTCAGTCTCGAGACCGACCTCTTTATAGCTCTGCCCAATAAACAAGATCGACGGCTCGATCTTCGTCTTTGTGGCCTCCGTCGTCTTCTCATGATACTGGCGGATCGTTGATACAATTCATCTTGCGTCAAGGTCGCGGCCAGTTTCAGTAAGAACTCCTTGTAGAGCGGCTTCAGATCGTTAAATGACATACCCTCCGGATCTGGAAAATAATGAGATCTAAAATAATAATAGAGCGCAGTTTGAAAAATTAAGAACAAAGGAGATAAAAGGGCAAGCTGGATGTGCTAAGAATGTATTATAAATTAGATAAACAATAATGTGACATGCGTTTCGATCTAAAATAAGATCGTCTTCAGCGCGCTAATAAATCCTGAAAATGTATTATAAATTAGATAAACAATAATGTGATATGCATTTCGATCTAAAATAAGATCGTCTTCAGCGCGCTATAATAAATCCTGAATTAGATCTAAACTTTGTTAGATTGAACTTTGTTCAATCATATTATTATTTAGCATTATATTATTACCTATAATGGCTGCCAAAATGTCGTCCACGCTGGTCAGACCCTCCTGATTCCTAAACTCGTCAAACAGCTCCGTGAATCCGAGCGGAGTGCCCCCTTTGACGTTATTGGTTCTCCGAGTGCTTCTGGAAGTCAGGAAACTGCCTCTCCTAGGTAGCTCGACCCTCGTCATCAGGTCCCCTCTGTCCACGTCCACGTCGCTCTGCGATCTCTTCAGCGCGTTCTCCTGCAGGATCCTGTTCGCGTTCTCCGAATGGCTAACGGGCGGCTCGCTGCCCGCTCTGCTTCTTCTTCTCACCCGAGGATGACTGTACTCCGGCATGCTCAGCGAATAACCAGGATCCTCTTTCCTCAACGGTTTGTCCATGGTGACGACTCGGCTGACTCTTTTGCCGGAGTACGCTCTCTCCGGGTCCCTCGAGCGTCTCTGCTGGTTTATCGTGCCGTCTGAATGTTCGTGATGTGACTGATAGTGTCCATTATTTTTCAAGTTCTTCGCGAAGAAGATGTCTTCTTGACATCTTCTCGCCTGACTGTTTCTGTTGTTCTTGCCCGCGTAAATGTCCTCCTTCTTGAGACTGTAGATTTTATCAGCGTCTTCGATACGCGAACCGTAGACATTTTCCTTCTTCCTGCCGGGTTGCTCGTAAATGGAGCTCATCTCGTTTCTCCCGGTCTTATTGACCTTCTCGTATATCAGAACGCTGTCAGTTCCGGAGGAGTATAATTCGCAATTCCCAGCGCAATTCGCTCGATTCAAATCGTACGAGCCGTAATTTCTTTCGTAAATGTCATCTTTCATGTCCCGTCTCGTATTGTTCCGTTTATACAGTTTTTCGTACTTGTTCGACTGTCTCTCGTAAATTCCGTCCGTATCGTTATCACGAGCGTGGTAAATTTTATCTGACTTATTAGACTCTATTTCGATCCTTAAAGAATTCTGGTCCTTAGCGGAAAACATCTTGTTCTTCGAATTTTGCAGCTCCTCGTTTCTGGACAACACGATGTCACGATTGTTCTGTCCCAGGTTGCACTTTTCGACTTTGACATTGTCGCGTCTTCTGCCGCGCGCCTCGAGAATGTCCTCCGCCTTCACGTCGGAATTCTTCTTCTTCCTACGCGGTACCTTCTGCTGGCTAGGCTTTCCGCCTTCGTCCTCGGTGACAGAGCTGCTCACGGAAGTCTTCTTGGTTCTGGGCGGTCTGACAGGATGCGGCGCGGTCGGTCTCGATGGCGGAGGCAACAGGCAACTGATCCTGCTGCTGTGACTGGGCTCGCGGACGCTGGAGGCAACGGAGGCCAGACTGATGCAGCCGACGCCGTTCGTGTGACGAGGTCGTCGCCGATTCGCATCCAGATCGGCGAGAAGAGCGCGATACAATGTGGCCGCGGCCGCTATTGCGTCTTCTTCGGATTCGCAAGCGAATGCGTGACACTCCAAGAGCCTGGCCGCCCCGGGCCGTCGCATCACCACGGCGAAGATCGGGGGATAGAATTCCGCTTCGCTTTTCAAACCGCGCATTGTCCTAAAATTAAAAGCAAAATTAAACATCTGTTCGTGGAATTTAATCTTTAAATGTATGAATATGCGCTTTTTACGCTGTTAAAAATTTGTAGTGCCAAATTATACTCATTTTGAGATATTTTTAATTATTTCTATAGGTCGTCACAACTGCTCCATATATCATTAATTTAAGTAAACTAATAAAATTTAAATAATATTGTTTTATATTAAAATAATAAATTTTGACACACATGGTAATTAAAAATAACAAAATATTTTAATATCAAATTAAATTTCATTCTTTAATATTTAACAGGGTAAACATATAATATAATAGGTATTGGTAGATCTTTGTATCCCAAAAAATTAATTATAATTATACGTAGCGTCCACCTGTAGAGATCGGCGTGCTTGTCTTCCATCGTCTGTCCCTCGTCCTGATCGCCGACCAGAGGCAAGAAGGCGTGGTGCACATCGCCCGACGGTGTTCTCTTGCATCGCAGCCGCAGGGCACTCCATACCGCTATTCTGCGGAAAGGATTATTCTTCTCGCAGACCTCGCTCGTGCGGAACGTCAGTCCGCGCCGGGAGACCTCCAGCTCGGCCCTCACGCATCCCTCCATGCGTTCCAATAGCTGACGAAGAGGTTCCTGAAGACCCCGCACGCTCGCCACGCGTCCGCCGACTGGAGCAGCTCCCATGTATTTTACCTACATGAAAGTGCAAAATATTCAAATCATCCCGAAGAATATATTTTTAATAGAGAAAGAAGACAGAGAAGATAATTTAAAGTAACGTAAAGCCGACGTATCTTAAGCTTTTTATTGTTTGGAATGTGATTTATTTCAGTAGTATGATCGGAGATCGGAGCGAGAATAAGAAATCTACAGGGGAGTTTCGAATAATTAACATAAAAACTTTTTTTTTTACTTTGGACGACATTACGAGAGACCGACGCATCTATGTAAAAATAGCGCTTGACAATAGATGCATTCTTTTTGCGTGTCTGAAAGCGGTGGGAACCTGTTTCGCGCGATGGGCAATGTCGAAGATAAACAGGGGTCGTTAAACGGGAACTTTATTATGCATATTTTGAACGCGATAAAGTTCTAACTATAGTCTCTCTGAAAAATTTTTATTGCGTTGCCGCTTATTTATATTCGCTACCGCTTCAATATCTTATCCCCTGCGGAATGTAATAAACATTATAATATATATGTTACAATGTGCAAAACTCGAATCGTGGACATCGGATTTCGTACCTCGGATGAAAAATAACGGTGCTCACTTTTATCATACAATTATCCGCGAAATCCAACGATTCGAGTTATATAGAGAGAGAGGCGTGACTTCAGCCATCAAAGAAAACAGGAGGGAGTCAATGCTCTCGACTGTAACAAACAGCTGCCGTGCCATTATGATTGACTGCCACGCCTAAGCAGGTTTCCTCGTCAGGTTCTCTGACGTAATTCTATCGATTGATCGGCATCTTCTTTCGTGAGCCCCAATCGAAGTGCGCGAAGCGAGGCGAAACAATGCGGCGGAGCCCATAAAACAGAATACCGTGTCGGCGGCGGTAAAGAATCCGCATACCGGCGTAACACAACTAACAACTGAAGGAGAATTTTTCAGCGCTCCGAATAGTTTGTGGAACTTGTGGAAGTCCGTCACGCTTCGCGGATCGTGAGCGGAATGAAAGTGACGATTAAAAATTCCGGATCGACGCCCCGAGGAAAGTCGAAGGACTTTTCGCGACCCTTTTTCGCGAATCGGGGCACGTCCGCCGCGATTGCAATATTGTAACGCGTGCTACGTATACCGAATGTAGATCTCGTGTTCGTCGAATTTTTATGTATCAAAATACCCAAGTCAATCCCTTGAAAAATACACTAATTAAATATATTTATATATTTTAATTACAAGATTTTGATAATTTATTTCATATGAATTGTAACATCATATTATTTATACTATTATAGTTTTAGAATTATAAGCCTTATTGCAACTCTGTTTATATTGTAATTAATTTATGTAAACGCGTTATCAAAGCGTTTTCTTCGCTTATTAAAAGTTCTGTTGTACCGCACATTGCAATCTATTATAATCTCAATTAAAGCGATACCATCAAATAAATGTACGTATCTACTAATATACGAACTAATTAACACGTAAAAAATTAATTTTGCTGTGTAAGACCGATTAAACTCCGAAGGGTTTGATACCATCTCAAGTTGGATATATAGAGATCTCAGATATATGATTTGCTTTCTCTTCGGATTTTTACAATTCTGTATATACTATAAGTACATTACTCCTTAAAAGATCACTGAGCAATTCTTTCCTTTCTAATGAGCAACCAGCTCGCGAGTAATTATACGTCGATCTCAATTTTATTTCTGACACGGAATCATCACGATCGTCAGGGTGATCTACGCGAGATTTCTGAGGCGGAAAATGGATACCATCCAACGTGCTTCTTTTCACGAAGCTTTTCACCGATCTCATATTTCAGATCTCATCTTCGATGAAGAACAAAACATATAAGATTAACGGTTTATTGTTGAGACGAAATGAGAAAGGTGAATTAATCGAATTTGAAAATGAACGAACCTGATTAATTGTGCGGTCGCAAGGAAAAAAAATATATATATTAAATTATATTTCTGCTCAAAGGAGCGAAGCTAGGTCATCCTGACACAACTATTTTTCGCGCGTAACGATTTCCGCAATTTTACGTCACATTAATTTCTCATTAGATGCCTCGACATTCATTCGCGGGATTTTGCAGTTGTTTCAATTTTGACACTGAGATAGACGAATAAAAACGCGCCCGTGAAGTCACGTTCGCTGGCGAAGTAGGTGAGCCTTTCGTCGCGGTGCCCGAACCTTCGTCTCCCTTGGAGAACGGAATGATCACGTTCGGCCACGTCGAGATTCGCGAGATTTTTCAAGCGAGGACGTGTGCGGATGCACACAATGGAATTAACATAAGTGAAAATGCAGCCGCGCGCGTACTCGCTACGTATACGGTTGAACCGCCGCGAGATCCCCGAATCTGAATCCTCCGACGGGCGACTCGAGCGGGCAATCTCGCGAGTGCTCCACGTGCGTAATTATTTATTCGTGTCATTACCGGCAGAATTGCGGCGGCACATTCACCGGGCGTCCCACTTTCGGCCTCCACCGAGGCGAACATCGCCTCGATGCGCGCCTGGACGGCGCTGTTCACCCTCTTCTGCTCCTCGTTCGCGTCGTTGGGGTTGCTCGGGATGACGACCGACAGTCCGGCGTACCATCCTCCCAACGTCGAGCTGCAGATCGATCTGAGGTGATCAAGACTCGTCAGTGCGAAGATAATAAGAATAAAGCGGTAATGAAAAAATAGTGGATAATAAAAAATAAAGTAGCGCAAGATCAATATTAATTCCCTACGCTCTAATTGGTAAAACGTAATTAAAGAATTTAATGAAAGATAAACAAGAAGTAGTGTAAGATCAACGTTAATTCTCTATGCTCTCTAACTGGTCGAATGTAATTAAAACAATTTAATAAATTCGATTCACCTGGAGTCTTCGAACAGCGCGTCGATCTGCGCCTTGCTCCTGAGGGAGCATTCCGACGGTGGCCCGCCCAATCGAAAACCATCTCCGTAATGGGATATTCCTAAGGTCGACATGCTTCGTACGAATGTTACGCAACCCGTTCGAGATGCGTGTGTTTGCAAATTGTTTTTCTATTGTGTTGCCCGCTGACGTCATTCGTTCTGAAAAAAAAATGCACATTATTACGGTGTAATCAAGCGGTGGCCTCAATTGGAAAAGAATTATTATAGCTGATGATATAATTGACGCTAGTTTGTTCGTCGATCAAATCTAAACAGAACTCGTATATGGTAATTACTCGCGTCTACTTGTTTCTAACAACCTTGTGGAAGTTAGTCAAGGTTTCCCCGAATGACCCGAATACGATATCAGTGGAAAAGTTGTTAGGACCGCGCGTATACGCACAATCGGGTCCTTCGGCTTTCATCTGGTGTTTCGCGTGGTGCTCATTACCGACGTCGCGGCGCGTTAAATTTATGCGGGCGCCAGACGGTGCGTGAATAATTAAAATCGCGTCAGACAGGACCGGGTCAGCCTCGGTACTTTTACATACGAGGCGAGATAGACGCGGGCAACGGTAAAAGTGATCGGGACAAAAGGAAAATGCGAACAATATGAGCTCGCGATCGTCGATGCGTGACAGATAAAACGGTTGACCGCGGCAGCGGCGATTTGAATTTTCTTGCACGTGATGTCTCGCGATTATGCAAACGGCTTGAGAGACGGGCGTATCGGTCAACGTATTAAATGATGAAAGTTGTTAGCACCGCGTTTAAGCGTAAATTAATATAAAGCGAACTGATATAAAGAGTGCTTTACTCCTTTGCCTTGAATCAATATCAAGGTCGTTGTCCTGCAAACTAGAAATCGTAAAAACTGTTATTCATGGGAATATATAATATATATATAGAAAAATTGCGTGTTTATCCGCTGTTACGGATTTCACCGGCAATTGAAACTTTACGCATTTCTTCATTAAGGTGGTGTACGCGCGCCGCTTTTTAATAACTCTTTAAAAAAATGGTGCCGTTGTCCAAGTGCAAAACCGGTTTCAACGGAGATCCGCAGTAATAATATATTATAATTTAAAAAGTGACGCGACTTTCTCCTTAATCAAAAGACAGAACGATTATCTTGCCACATGTTATAATTAAAGGTACATTTTTTTTAATTGAAAATTTTATAAATGTAGTTGAAATTAAATAATTAATATTCGATGCAGTTATACAAACATTTCAAATTACAAATTTTGTAATATTAGAAAGATGTATTCTTGCAATAAAGAGTCAACGTCAGCCTCACGTCCGGTACGAGCTAGCGCTTTAAGATATCTATATACGACTGCTCACAGTTAGGCTTTACAGTTATGGGCCAGCTGGATGAGGCGGCATGCAGCCTGGCCGGTAGCCGAAAGGTGTCAATGTCGAGTTTGGAGTCGGGTTATTACGCACGCAATCTTCTTTTTTAAATTTAAAGTATAAGAAGTGGCGCTGAGTACTAAACTCCTATCATCTATCACTTGCAAAATGTCAACAATAATTTTTAAACTCTTGAACAAATAATTTAATTTAGATAATCCATATGGATCCTTAACTTCCTATTAAACAGGGAATCTACCTCTTAAACGAGGTATACACAGGATGAAGACTGGGCCGGAATCGAAGTACGGATTTTTGTGTTATTAATCACTCGCGCAGCCACGGAGCAACGCGTCATCCCCGCACGCAATCTGAAATAACTGTCAGTACGTGTCCCTCTCGCGAACGCGTATTGACCTTACGTGTCGATCGTACGCAATCGTTACACGACGAAATCGATTGTCAAAACAGCACTGTAATTACGATTCGGCTGATTGGACCACCGACGATTTCGAAAACGAGCGGAAGGCTGCGTTACGATAATTATCGGTGGCGCAGGGTAATTAACAGGGGCCACCTTCGGCCACGCGCGCGCTTTTAATCGAAACGGAAGTTTTCTCTCCGCGCGCTCCACTCATCGTAAACAGCTCCTGACACTCAAATTTTCCTTTATACGGCACAAAATGTGTGATGCCACTCATTATGTCGTGAGATCGCTCGCGAGAAGACTGCCTCCTTGCTCATCGCCTGAAGCCGGCCCTGAATAATCACCGCCGGTGAGCTTCTTGATGCCGGTGACCCAGTTTCGGCTCTGCACGCTACCGTAATCACTGCAGCAGCACGAACCTCATCGATGTTATTATTAACAGTCTGTGACTACGCGCCGAATTAGCGATGACGTTTGAAAAATTAACACGGAGCGCCGCGCGAGCGGAACGTCGGAGGAATCTCCGTGCGGCGTGGACGGGAAAATCGCGCGGGGAAACGGAGATGATTTCGCGAGCGATCGCTCGATCCGCATCCGCACTGTCCGTCGCGTTTCTCTCGAGAGCATCATCTCTCCCTGTTTTCATAACTGTCGAAGCGTCCGCGTCGTGTTTGAGGCAACGGTATTAAGGTCGGCGAACAGATTACGGCATCACGTGTCGTAGACGAGAGCTCTGGTCGATATAAGCGCTCGACTTTGATGCGTGTGCGTCGTTCAGCTTACAATTACCAGGTTCACGGCTCGTTTCCCGCCTGCATCTGCTTTAATGGATTTCGAACCGACCGATAATCACATGCGCGAGACATACATCGTCGGTGCGTCATCGCCTCGATCGCATCGATGGATCATTTTCTTAGCGGTTTTAAAAGGCACGTCGTCGGTTCCGGGAATTTTAGAAACTCGGTAATTATCGTGCGCGGCCGGAGATTTCATTTATTTCAGACGCGCACACATAACGGTTGTCGATGCCGACAGAATATTGATCGATAATTTTTCACTTACATTTTTCACTTACCTATTGTTAGTATTGATCGAATTTGTATGAAGAACGAACTCCATAGTCGCGTCCCGTCACGTGGACAACGTGATGATTTGATTGTCGCAATGTTTATTGTCAAATCAAAATATACGAGGCTAATGTAATTAAGATTTACATATCCCCGAGATTACGTCATATAGCGCACTATTTAGATATTTAGAGCGGCAGGAACATCTACTTTCTTTTCTGTGAAAAATTTGGCATATTTACGTCACGACTCGAATAAGACTAATTGTCCGAGATACCTACCTGTTTGCTTCTTAAATATCGCCACGTGTGCTCCAAGATGAAACTCAACCATCCGATTTCGGCGCTGCCACCCCTGACACAGTCTCAATCGTTCGATCAACTCGCACTGTCATATCACCGTCAGGTACAGAGAATCTATCACGAGAATTGGCGAACCGGGACGTCATTCGCGAGAGGATGCCGCACCACGTCAAGGAGCCTCACTCACGATCGTTCGCCAATTCATCTCTTTGGCCGACCTTCGACGGGGATCCTCCTCCTTGCGTCCGCCGACCTTGGCCGCGACGAGTCGATCCGGATGGCCGTCGACGTGAAACTGCCGGGGATGTTCCGCAGGAGAGGCCCGAGTTCCTTTAGCTAGCGAGTCGGCGCCTCCGCGCCGCGGAACGAGCAGGAGGAGAGGGATGAAGATCGGCAGAGTGAGAAAGAGAGAAAGAGAGAGAGGCGAGATGCCTTCTCCCGATGCGCTCTCGGGCGTCGCGAAAACACGCCGGGTACTCTCTCGTTGCGACGTCCGGAAATCTCGCGCTAATGATACCGCGCTGATAAACCCAATTGACACGCCCACGATATTGCACTTTTGCCGGATAAGACGCTTTCTTCCCTCGCTATTACATCCGCTATTATCCAAAGAGGTGATGCTTCACGGAGAAATTTTTGCCCGCCGTTTCAAAGAGGCATGAGATTCATCTAGGTACCTTAATTTATATTTTGGAGTAATCAACGAAATTGGCTAATGAGGATATAATACGATCTTGTCTGGAAGATATTTCCTTTTTCCATCAGCATTATCTCTTTGCAGTTCTTGTTTTAAACATTTCTAATATCAAAATTCTGTTTACTAATCGACATATTTTGCGATAAATTTTATTTCATTTTATTTGCATTTACATATGTAAATACAGCCAGTTTTTAAACGCTCTTGCGCATACATTTTCTCTTTTTCGTAAAACAAGTACCTAATAAATCAATAACTTTTGCGTATTATTTTACACATGACGCGTGTACTTCGTCTGACCGATATCCGACTGGTTTCGAGGTGGGTTAAGTCGAATGATGCCAAGAGGACCGCACCGGCGAGGCGAGGAGCAAACGCGGGAGAGGATTTCGCCGAGAGCGGAAGAGCGAGGGAAAAAGATAGTTGCAACTGAATCGATCGGGCAATCGGGTGGACCGTATGGCGCGTTCGTCCCGATCCTCTGATTACCGCCGGCATTGGAAGCCGGTGCGCGCTCGCCGCGGTAACGTCGTAACCGGTAACGGTACCGGGCTTCGACGGTGCTCACCGGATGGCCGCACCAATATGAGAGTACTGTTATTCCAACTATGCGGGCTCCCTGTTCTCCCTCTCCGTCTATTCCCTCAGCGGCTGTGCCCCGTCACTCCCGCGTTTCCGTCTCGCTCTTTCTTACCCGTTCCGCGACACGTCCGGCTCGGTGTTACCGTTCACGTCTATCGATCCGGTTTCTTTCCTTTTCTGGCGAAAGATTTGGAATTCCCATGTCCCGAGTCCCTGGTGAAAAAAATTGCTCGTATTTTCTCAGAAATTTTCTAAGAATTGAGATTTATGAAAAATTCTGGAAAAATATATAAAATTTCTCAGATACTTTTGAAAATAATTGGATGGAGATTTTCGGAATATATTTCAGTAGGTATCCGTATGTATGAAAATTTCTGATAAATTGCACAAATTTTCTCATATTTATTTACATTTCTACAAAGACATGTTGGCGGGGAAATGTTGGCGGCATATTGATCTGAAATATTTTATTATTTTGTTTAAATTTTTCTGAAAAACGTTCCAATTCGTAATAAAAAATCTGAAAAATTCTGAGAAAATCTGAAGATTTTTATAGAAATTCTGAGTGAAAAATTCAGAGACATTTTCCACCGGGGGTGAACGAGTGAATACTTAATGATGATAACTGAGAAAATCACGATTCCTCCTGTAGCGAAATTCATTGCACGTCACAATCTGATTTACGTTATTTTCAAAATTAGCCAGCCATGTCAACGTAACGGTATTGAGTGCCGAAATATTAATACAAAAACGGTAAGTCGGTAGTAGCAAACTTCCGTGGAGAAAAATAATTGTTACAATCGCTCGAGTCGAGTAAAGTGACTATGTCTCGCTATGCATAATTTCTGTCGCAATCGCAATTTACTTTCATTTGTGTATTGTTAGCCGCCGCAACGCTCGTAGATGCATTGCTCGACATTAACTTTTAGCTAATGGCGAGAAAGTCGAATTTTAAAGATACCGCATACGTTTAACATTATCTTTATTACTTGCATTACAAAATTGCAGGCTAAAAGCACTCGCGCGATGATGATTGCGACGCTTTTTAATTCAAAGCGTATTTTTCTGTGTAATGTATTAATCATTGCAACAGAAATTTCAGCTTAGTGGGTTAATTGTATGAATACTATTAATAAAACATAGAAATAACTGTTAATTCTGTTATATATTTAATAATTATATGTGATTGTTTGCGCGTTAGTCTAAAGAGAGCGCATCTTTCAGAAAACTTATATATATAAAATAAGCCGCGCGATGTTTCCGTCAGGATCGATAGAGACCCGTTATAGATCAAGTTCGCATAATAACCGTTGGTTTTATGCATCGCGCGATTACGGCTTACGTCTCATAGGTATCGTTCAGTCAACAGCAGGTGGCATATATGCCTCGTAGCCACGGAACGTTTTGCTTTAGCGAGAGGCTACGGCGACTGCCAATTTCTCACGAAGGCAATCCCGCATCTGTTGTGTTCATCCTTTTGAAAATCACGCGAATGCACCTAAGCCGGATACCTCCGATTAGGCGCCGCAGTGTCGTTGCACCGCTATTTCGCAGGGTTCATCGAATTGTTGATTCGTGTGTTCCATATCTGTCTGTCGAATGCGCCTTATTTCTCGTTACACATATGCATACCGTGAACCGGCACGTTGAATCGGTTAAACATTTAATGAGAAGCGTTTGTTAAGAGAGAGTTTTGATTCCTGAACCGTTAAAGAACGAGATATTAATGATCTATAATTTTTATAATCAACGTGCAACTAGACATTTCCTCGGGTAAATGTTACTAATTAATAAATTGCGCTCGATTGTCACGATATCGTGATATCCTTTAATTTTTAATTTCGACGTATACAAAACCGGCGGAAGTCTCCGCGGTATGTGATTACGTAAAGCTTTTAAAATCACTTAGAGGGATTCAGGCGGAAGTATTGGCGACTATCGATTTGTCACGCAGGCACGGGTTTTCGCAGCTGTTACCTCGTCTCTTCTAAATGCAGAGTTCCGCGTTTAAATGCCGTTTCTCCATTAGCTAATTGCGGAACCTCCCATCATTCACAATTACTCGTTACTACTTCATAATACATCGAAACTGCATTTAAAAAGCACTTATAGCAGGAAATGACTCTTTCCATCTGTTGGAAATTAGATGAAAATATGTAGGTATGTTTTGAAAGCGTTAACTTACGAAGTATTGTTTTAATAAAATAGTTCCGTTTAATAAAATATTCCATATAAATTTCATACAAATTTCAAGTATGAAAAATAAATATAAAAGATGTTTTTAATCAAAAAGTATAAAAAAATATAAATAAAATATTTCAAGTATTTATTTTCGAAGTTCGATAAAGAGTAATAAAATCGTGCCCGTCAAGATGGCCGGCCGCGGTCGATCGTGCTCATATAGCACCACTCATTAAAATCACCAAATATACCATCTCTGAGCGGTATAGCCGCCGACATCTACCGGCGAGTGTAACGAGGCATCTCTTCTTCATAGAAAGTAAATCAGGTCTCGAGCTGCTCGAACAGAGCCACCAGACCATTATTTCACACGCGGTTGGTAAATTATTTTATTCGCCGTGTCATCAACCCGCAATCGCCCCGATGATCGATCCCGCCCCCATATTTTTTCTCCCCTTTGACCACGTGTATTCTTTCTGTACTTACAGATCTCTTCCCCCTACCCCTATCTTCTTCACTGATGCATCTCGACGTGACCCTGTTCACACGTTGCTTGTACTCCAGATTCGTGGCCACAGTCGCCGTAATGCGCGCGATGCAATTACACAGTCTGCTTCCTTCGAAAAGGAACGTTCGATGGACCCATTGTCGTCGTCCGAGACAAGGAGAAACCGAGAAGAGTGGATTCCGCAAAGATAACTGTAGACGGTTGAATAGCAAGTGGACTTTACGCGAATTCTAATAGGTGAATGCGATTTAAAAAATTACATTTATGTCAATGTTTTTTTTTTTAACGATAGACTTTACAAAGCTGTCCGATTGAGGATACATTATTACGCGCGCGTTAACATCTCTCACGTCATTTAGAGTAAAGAAAACCGTACAAGAGGAATATTAAGCGGCAGGTGGTATTAGAAATAGTAATCTGTTGTTGTAATTGACGTGCATATGCAAGTATTACGCCGACCGCTTTGCTCGGCAAACGATCGTCCGTTAATCCGTTATATCGCCACCGGCACCGTTATAGGAATTAAATTTGCACGAGATATTAGAGTGCAATAATCGTCCGGCGGGGGTTGGATGAATCGCGCCGACGACGGCGCGGCCTGGACGGATTATTAAAAACTAATTTCGCCTCTGACCCGATTTCTTTACGCCCGTACGCCCGTATACGAGCGTGTATACGTGGCTAACTGTAAATCGCAGAACCACCATCTAACTGTAATTCGAGCTTTTAGCTCGCGCGGCTGCGTTACGTTATCGCAGGAATTTGAGAATGTTAAGGTCGCTACGTCGACTCTCCGCTAATCAACGATCCGTGAAGGCCACCCGGCGCAGCGCTCGATATTAAAATTCGTAAGAGATACTTGTACTGAATCGCGAAATTCCGTGGTAGCTGCAACAAGACGTTGCATTCTCACTGTTGCATTTTTTAGATATTATATACTTTTCCACTCAATTCGCATTACAAATTATTAAATATTTATTTATTGTACTATTTGTCGAAATAAAAAAAGTGGGATAACGTAAGTATTTCTGGACTGTTAATTTTGTCAAATCGAATAATTTTCGTTTTCGGAGCAACGACTTGGACCGCGGAGATGCGAGGGAAATTAATAATTAAGAAATATTTTATTAGTTCTGCGATGATTTAGTTAATGATATTTATTTGTTGCGACAAAACGCGTGTACATTATATTCACATTGTTTCTCTATTCATGACATTAGCCTACGTATGTACGTACACGCGGAAGTTTAATCGGCGACGCACTTTCGTCGCGAAGGAAAAGCGCGGCTTGCGCAACGCCGCGCGTTGTATCTTCGCATTTTCTCTTCAGCGGAAGATAACTCCATCCTCATTCCTTCGCTACTCGCCGCGTTCCGCGTGTGCGTACTGTGTATGTATTATCTATATATATATGCAGTTATAAACGTAATGAGTCTTCTCTTTCGCATTCTCGATGGCACATTCCTATATCAGCGCTCGTCTCAGACGCGAGTGTTAATTAATGACAAGCGTCTTACGCACAACGCAATCGTCTTTAAATAAACTGTCGCGTCCAATCGCAGATACACACACGCACACACACACACGCATGCATACACAATTAATTATGGTATTATTGATTGTCGTACAATGAAGTGGCGACCTGTGCCTTGCCGCGCGAAGCAGCTATGCAGTTTCTCATTTCACCGCGGAAAGCTGCAAGGTCGTGGAGTAATGCACCGGCATCCGGATGCCATTAGCGCATACCTACGAATGCATTTCGTCCCCTTCATCTTGGCATAGCTCTTCCGGCGGTTGTTGTACTCGCGCGCCGGCTGCCAACCGGCGGAAGAGCGATAAGAAAAAGAGAGAGGAGTGTGAGGCACTATTCTCGGACACGCGTTTGTACCGCTATGCGTGTCCCCTTACGCGATCGACTGGTAACGTGGCTTGTCACGCGCGTATTGTTTAAAGCCTATAGATACGACGAAGTGGAAAATGTAGAATAGTCCCCTTACGCGATCGCGAGCAACAATGCAAATGGACGGTAGAATAGATAATAACGAAGAATTATGAAATGAATCATCATTTCTGCGATTGACCGTTTGACGATGTGTCATTTCTCAATCTGTCGCATTGGTGACTTTCGTTGTGAGTTCCAAGCCAGCTTCGCAGAGCCAGCTGCTCATTTACCACACGATAAACCACAGATGAGTTTTAATATTACGCGGTTAGTATAATCGTTACGTCGAGTTAATATATATTTGGCATACTAACGTATCCAGATAGGGAGAATTCAAATGGAAGACGATAAATGATTTGTCCGAATGTACAGGGCGATTAAATCGACATAGAAATTTACAGTTACAATGTCCGAGCGCTCTAACTGTACCGCTTGTAGCATTTATACCCCGCAGCGCCGTTTTACATTCTATAATTATGTGTTATAATCGCAAAACTATAAATCGCTAGTCGCGTCTCTCACACGACATTTCATTATCCTATGTATTCAAGTACAATGGCTGCATCCTAGCGTGAAAACGCTGGAATAAACGAGCTTGGAAACCGTTGTACTACCGCACTTCCAGCTCGAGGAAAATGTTCGAAAGTACCAGGCTTCCCTTTTCTTATTTGAAAAGGAGGAAAATTGCAGGATCTCTTTAGCATTCTCTTCCCTTCGACAATTCCAATAATAATTTTCCTGTATAACATCGATGAAAGAGAAGAGAATCTGAAGAATCTTTTACTATCGCCTTTTCTCCTTTCCACAAGAAAAAACTTTTCATATCGAACAGACATATCTCGTTTAACATTCTTTCACATTCGACACCGACATTGCATTTTCTTTCCTTTTTTGGAGGAAAATTCGTTGTAGTCTAATAATTCAGTAATTTTTCTCTCGTACACGTTAAAGCATTCAGAGCGCAGACTTTCCTCGAGAGTGCCCAAGAGATTTTATATTCAGCTTTCGAACTTGTTCGGAAATAATAAACTCGCCAAAAAGCCCTTTTATTAACGGCCGAAGAGAAAGAACGCGCTCCACTTAAGCTACCAATCAAGGTAATTTGCATTCCACCGGTTGTTTGTTGCAATCCTGAAACTAGAGTATCGCGTACGAGACGGGTTGGCGGTTAACCCTGAAAATTACACGGGAGAACGGAATGTGGGGCCGGCGACGGATAGGTTCGCGTGCATGGTGCATATAATGCACCGTAAAGTGAAATAACGCGTCTCGTGTCCGAGCAACCGTGATGCTCCGACAACGAAATTCGTCCGTTGTTCAAAATATGTTTCAGCAAAACAGTTTGGACTACTATCAGTTAGACCGTTCTGCTTGAAATCCAACGTTCCGACAAAATGAATTTCGTGCCTGGCAAAACACTTCCAATTGCAAGCACGAATATTCTCGTTGTATCTCCGTTATGCGCGCGTCGATTAGAATCAAGATCACTCTCCGACGTTCCTGCGCGACTTAATGGCATGCTCGTTTAATTAGCTTTGACTGGCTTATTTGGTAAATACACACACACACACACGTATGTAGATATATCTCCGTATTCGTACACGTATATGCCTGTACACGCACTTTTCTGGTCATAAATATTTTACACTCACTTTCTACCTCAGCAATACTATATAATTGTCGCAGCAATAAAACAATCTTTGCCGTAAACGTACATTTTTACTTTATCAGGCGTCGCGAAATTTCGATCAGGCGCCTGGGAGAAGCGCAGTTGAAAAGAAAAGAAAAGGAAAGAAAAAAGGAAAGGAAAAGAGGGAATTATACGACCGTGTTACAGCCTTGACGTGAAAACAACGTGGCAACGATAGTCGGTGACTAATAAAGTGTGCATCCTAGTATGCACGACCGGCGATAATAATTCAGTGGCGTGGAATTCTCTCTTTTTCCTGCCGTGCGTTTGCATCTAAATATTTTCTCCGTTTTTATCTTTTACAATCGATTAATCAATCGGTCGGAGAGAGAATTTAATCTAGCGGTATTTAAATTTGCATATTGGCGATATGACTTGCGGTTCTCTTTCATCGGTGAGATCTCAAGGAAGGATCACTTCGGAGAAAAAGGATCTACCTGTCTCGTTTCCTGATTTGCATAATACTTCCGCCGTGAACAAGTTACGCTGTGACGCATTAACGATGCCTACGTGCCTACGCCGCAACTTTCTGCTCGAAGACACGCGTCGATTAAGCAGCAATGTCGCCTTCTATAAACACGTTGCCGCTTATAATTCCGAATTTATACATTGAATCGCTTTGCATATTCTTTGCCCACTTGAATATTAATTTGGAACGATAAAAAAACTTGACGATTATGTAACGCTTCTGCTGAAAGTGCAAAATATACATCAGATTATATTTATTTTTATTATTCTACGCGCGTTATGAAATCTCATGAATATTGTCGAAGTATACTCTCAGTGATAATTTAAATAAAATTTTTCGATATCCATTTTTTAGAAGTCGAATCGAATGTCGAATTATGTTTTTTTCTGTTCGTACATCCTTCGTCGATATTTTTCTGCGTAATACCTATCATTATGCCGCTCGGAGAAATTCGTGGCGAAAGGCGAAGCTCTTTTTTATTGCTTATAATCGACGCGCTCGATGAAAGAGAAACGCACTTCTGAGCGGTATTTGAATGCTGTGTCCCAGTTACGTAATGACGAATAATTGTTCTTGCATAGTTCCTGGTCACTAATCACCGAATACTAATATGTATACATGAATCATTCAAAATCTTCGCGGCTCGCCGTTTTTACATCGAGAGCGACATTTAAAACTGAAAGGATCGAAACTGCGACTGAGAAAATTTGAGCAAGTTTCGAAGATTCGCAGGCGACACGTCGAAGGATTCGACGGTTTATGTAACCGCATCACAATGAAACAAGGCGAAAGTGTTAATTATAGCGACTGAGCGATTAAAATCTTCTCTGTGATCATCACCAGCGCTGACGTCTACGCAAAAACATCTCGATGCGTTATTTTTAATCGGTGAGGACACTTGTGTTACTATCATCTATAGAGAATTAACATCTTTTGCGCGTATAATTATCATAATATTATCATTAATATATAATCATCCTCCTATCCTTAAAAACACGATCTCGCAAAATGATTTCTTTCAACTATGAAAACATCGTGGATAATGTTTTTCTCGGCAGTAATAAAAATTAATGTTTCGATAACACGATAATAAACGTATAATATATCTATACGTGGTTTCTGGAGATCTTTCGAACGTGAAAAACACATGTCTCAACATCGAATGAGATTCCTTTGCGTTTAAGCTTTTGCTTACGACATCAGTGCTAATGTGCCACGATAAAACTTCAACAAGCGCGTGGCCGCAAAATGTCTTAACCAAGGACACTTTTCTCGGTCGGCGGTAATGTACGATTGTACGCGCCTCGCGAATGCAAATATCGAGGCTTCTGACCAGACTTTTTATCTGTTCTTTATATAACGTATCATTTCTTGCTCTTTTCCACGAGTTATATAAATCGCACAGATGTTATATGTGCAGTACGTCAGGTTAATTGCTGATTATCTCATTAAAGTACTGTTTGAAAAATAAGGTTTATTTAATTACACGAAAACAAGAGAAAGATATTAAGAGTCGATTGATGTTTTGATATTTAAGAGATGTTGTACGTGTCCAAGTATTCGAGGAAATAGCTTTCAAATGCTTTTTTAAGTGCTGGCGACAATGACATCTTTGTTGATCTATTCGCAAATTTTTTAACTCGTTTTCACAGAGAAAATATATGTAGCATGTCTCTTTTTTCCTCTACGCTTTACGCCTTCATCTAATGAGCTTCAGACAGAACTGTTATCTTTCTAAGCCGACAATAATTACTACCTAATTAGTTTGTTCTGCGATAGAAAGGTCGTTGCGTTTCTCGAGACGTTATGTCATCGTGTAATGTATGGCGTTTCGTTCATTCTCCGTTTTTATATTAAATGCTTTTTATATTAAACTGATCCAATAAGATATATGTTTTTAGGAAATTTGATAGATAATTATATTTAACATAATAATATACTTATATCTTCAAAATGAATACGAATTATATCGTTATCGATTTAATTAAGAAAAGTAATTTAAAATACGCCTGCTGCTGTATAATACCGTTAGGCAAAACTTGCTACGGAGAGTCGGAATTGCAACGTTTCGCAATGCAGTCTTTTTCCACGTGACATGACGACGGAACATGAAATCGCTCGTAACTGTAGCGCCGATGTCACGCTTGGAGAAGCAAGCTGCAAGAAGATGTTTGTTAACCCAGACAAAGTCTATTGCATCAACGCGATCGACCGGAAAAAGCAAGATTCATTTCGAACAATCGCCTGGTAGTAACATCGCTAATAAAAGAAAAAAGAATCTCACGAAGTATTTTTACGATCGAACGATAGATATAAATTATTCGTTATAACTTTATCGTTATCGACAGATTAATGTTCAAATATGCCATATTTATCTGTTAGCATTCTAAACTAGTAAGGGACATTAGCAAATCATTAGTAGCTGACCAAGATATCTGATAAAGAAGGTGAATATATCAATTTAACTAAAAATGCTTCGCTCTTTATAGTATTCTCTTCGATAAAAAGTATCCAGAAGTCGGTCTGGATCACTTAGAAAGCTTCAGGCAGCATGACACTGCAAGAGACCAATCTCGAGAAGCGATTCTAACGGGGTCTCGGCCTAGGCAACGGTTGAATCTGCTGCTGCTGTTGATGATGATGATATCCTCCCCTCGAATTCGTGGCCTGTGTTCGTTCCGGTCCATCGTTGAGGCTCAAACCGGCAACCAGTTGAGCAATCTCGCGATCCTTCTTCTCCTCCTTCGGCAGCGCGTTACCGTTCTGCGCGCTGAAGCCCAAGGAGGCCAGACTGCCGTGGCTCCTGCTGCGATGTTCCGCCCGAATGCTGTAAGAAAAGGCTCTCTCGTTCAGATGACCTTTCCGCCGGTATATGCCGGTACCAAAACGAGACTCGTTCTCCGGACTGTCCGCCTGTCGAGCGACTTCCGGCGCGGTGAGATCCGCGTGAGAGGCGGCTAATCTCCTGGACGTGCCCAGGGTGGAGTTATCCGCCTCCACCGGATGTCGTCTGCCTCTGTTTCCGGCGGTACCATACGTGGCTGGATAAATGGCCGCCGCCGGTGCCGCGGTCGGCGGTACCACTGGCAGAGGAGCGTAGACCGGGACTATCGGTGTCGCTGCCGGAATGGGCCTTAAACGCGGATGATGACTTTTCCGTGGCAAGGTGGCCGCCGGCACCAAAAGCACCGGCGCCGGTCTGGCTAAAGTACCGGCGACGGATCGGCTACTGGGTGGTAGCGGGTGAGGATGGTAGTGTTGTTGTCTGATGGGATGACCCAGGGTGTGATGTCCGTGGCCATTGGCGTACACGCCCTGGTGCAGCTGATGGTGAAGAAGCTGCTGCTGTTGTTGATGCTGCTGTAAGGCGTCCTCGTGCAACGAACGAGTCTTCATTTTCTTGAGCTTCTTATTAGCTTTCCGTCGCGCGGAAGAGGATTCCTCCAGCAACAACGGTTGGGCGGGAGGGGGCGGCGGTGGCGGCGGCGGCGGTGGGGCGACCAACTGGCGCGGTCTGGATCCTTTCGTGCTTCGCAGGGTGCCCTGTTCCTGATAAAGTCCATCGACTTCGTCGCGACCCCTGGCCCAAACCTTGTGATTCTCGTCGCCATTGTACAGACTGAGGTCGTCGGTCGAGGCAGTGTCCAAACGGGTCGGTTGGGGGCTGTCCAGGGTGGTGCTCGAGCCGCCCAGAGTGTGGTAGAGACTGTTGTTCGACTGTGGATGACCCGTCGTGACCCCATTCGTCGTCGCCGACGACGGGTCCAGGCCTTTCGCGTAGCTGCTGTCGGCGTAAGCGTGGAAGCAACACCTTACCAGGGCGTTGGCCGCCATGTCCCGTTTGCATATGAACGCGTGACACTCGAGAACCTTGATGCCGGTCGTTCTTCGCAGCACGGCGGCGAACAGGGGTGGATGATTCGCGCTGGGCGTCCGTGCGAACGGCGAGTCCAACGGCAGGAAACGCGTATTGGACGTGTCGCCGTTTCCACCCTTGACGTGTCTGACCGCGGCGCAATAGTGGAGCGCCTCGATGGGGAAGAACCGCGTGATCTTTTTGCGATGCTCGTCGACATTCTCCAGGAGCAAGCCGTTGCTCCAAACGCTTAGCCAGGAGTCTATCCCGCGCGCACCCAACGCACCTTGCTCGGGATAGAGTTCTCTCAGGGGTTCCTGCACGCCCAGGAGCCCCTCTTTGCTCGTGTGAGGTACCGAGCTACCTAAATAGAGTACTCTGCAGCGACAATACGGCGTCGCCGTATCCTGATTAGCTCCCCTCATTTTTTTTTCTTATTCGACTCGACTAACTTATTGATTAGAGAGATTCAACCGACTTTTGCGAGCGCGATTGAGTAATGAAATTTAATAATCGTTAATAATCAGAGAACTATCTTTAACAATTCAGTTGTAGAAGGTAGAGATATATTCGTTTAATCCGATTACAGATAATCTTATTAGCTGGTTACTCTCAAGTTCTAAAAAAAAATTATTGTACGTGAGTCAATCGCATTGTCATATAGGAATGACACTCAAAAGTGGTCCTAAACTGTCCTAAGCGGAGAAACCGTTTGGAGATTTCAACGCGTGGTACGTAAGTCCCACGATCGGCGACACTCAGGGATATGAACGTCAATTATTAGCCGCGGCGGATCGTTTCCCATGCGCAATGTGGGACCGCGGATGTGACTCAGGATCTCATTGAGCGATTACGCTGCGACGGGACTCCGTCCGGTAGCACTCGCAGTCGATTACGCAGTCGTTGCTTTCCAAAGACAGGCGGACAAGCGGCGCGTACACGTCGTCGCAGCGCGGCGTTGCAAAATACGTGCGCGCAGCAACGGCGAGAGGAACTCCGGCGGCGCGGATATTTCGCAGCAGCTGTAGCCGCTCGCTCGAGATCGCGTCAAGCCATTATGGCCGCCTTCTTGCGAATCCCCCCTTCTCACCGGCGTATCGGGCCCCCGCTTTGCCCTCTGTCTCTCTTTCTCTCTCTCTCTCCTTCTCCTTTTTTCCCTCGCCGTCTCCGTTTCTCTCCGCCGCTTTCTTTCCCTTCGTGCCTCTTCCCTCTATCACGGGCCCCCTTCTCGTGCTCCGTCTCTGTCGCTTCCTTTCAGTTCTCTCTAGGCTTCTCTATCCCCTTCTCTGCGATCAGACCCGGGGCCCTCGCTGGTATGCGGCGCAGTGGCGTAGCCGTCGCCGTTGTTGTCCCTCACTAACGCACCTCCACGTGTAGCTGCTGTCACATGTATGTACGCACACGTACTCCATACACTCGCGGTCGCCGTGGAATATACCTGGGAACGACAAATGGAGAAAACAGCTCGGCGATACCCGGCGATACCCGGCGGCGAGGATTTAACGACTATTCCCGCGGGCCGTGTGCTGGTGTTTGTGGAATCCAGAGGCGCGGCCGCAGGCGTCGACCGCGCGAATCACCGTACCCAGCACCGGTGGGCCTCATTGGGCCTCACGCCGCGGAGATGGCGAAAATGGCGGATGCTGCTCCGGTTTGAATGCCGATTCGATGCTACGGAGCAATCGAAGACGACTGACGGCTCGAGGAAGAGCGGCACGAAGATGGTACGCGAGGGGGGTCTCAAGCTCGACACTGACACATCATCGACTTTGCGGGGGAGCCGCTCTTGCCGTTCTTGCCGTTTCTGCGTCCGGGCACACACACAACACACCAACCACGCGACACGCACACACGCGCACGGACGGTCTCGGAGCGGAGCGGCGAACCAGCTAACTGCCAGAACGTTCGTCTTCGGACTGAGAACTGGTGGAAGGCGTGAGACTTCGTGACTGGGGTCCCACTCCGGCTTCACCACCAGACGCTCTCCCACTCTCCTCCTTTGCGCTTTTCATCGTCGGGTCACTCCCTGGACTCCGATCCTGTCGCCGTACCTATCTCCTCTCGGTGGCGAACACCGTCGATAGGACGGCGGGGAATTATGCCGAGGGAAATGGACATTCCTTCGGCTCGATTTTATGTGGAGACGTTAATGGCGCTTCCCCTTTCCTGCGAATGACGCAACGCGACGCTGTTTTGCTATTAATACCAGTTAGTACCTTGACTCGAGATATGTGACATTTTAGCACGCAGGAATTTCGCACGCATCAGGATGTCGCGAGAGAGTTGACTCTTCAACGCTGTCAATATTAACGTCGGACGATGCTAATTTATGACTACAGATGGTGACGCGAACATCAAATTACAATACAGGTTGTAATCAACTTTGTATTTCAAATATTGTATCTTCAATTGAAAGTGAGCAATATAGTTCCACAGAGCACACATATATCTTCGTATTTATTATTTATCGAGTCGTACATCAAGCAGTATTGCTATGTGCATGTTGCCCTTTATAGGTCAAAGATTGCGTAGGTATCGTGAAGGAAAGCCCGTCCGGCACACGGTTTTCACACAGAAACTGTCGGGGCCTGGGAAGTGAACGATTGTCTTTTGACAAGAGGTAGGATTCGTGGTCTCTAGGTCGTTCTTCATATCGACGAAGCAGAACATGATCACGAAGGTGAAATCACAAATTTGTTGCGTAACAATGTGAACTGAGACACCTGCCAGACTATAAGCAAACAACAAGTGCAAAGGTCTTTTAAACGGAGTTTACTTTGCAGTCTGCATTTGTACACCGTTAAATATTAAAGGATGAAATTTTTAAACCAACACCTTGAATAACATTTTGTTGTTTTTAACTACTGTGTCGAAATTTATTATTTTAACACAAGACAGTATTATTTTAACTCCATTGGTTTAGCTAAATTATTTGTTTTAATTAAATTAACGACATATTGAGTAGGAGCATCGGATATCTTTTCATTGAATCAATTAAGAAATTTGTAATTATCTCTACATGTACTATCTATCCTAATATACAAACTATTTTTGTATTTAAATACATGCAAGAGATTAAAATAATTTTCACGCAAAATAATTAAAATTAAACATTACGTAACGGTGTATCTTCCATTACGGAAGAATTAAATTTCTCTTTGATACTCAATAAACATCGTTCTTCTCCCATCGAGCTTTTGTATCCGGTAGTTTAGTCTCTGCATATGAAGGACATATTTTCCGCATATTTCATTCGGTTTCGCACAAAAATGAAATGCTTTCTCAATGCATTTTCCACGCAATTAACCGCGAGCGGTGCGCGACAGGAAGACGAGAAAATCCGGTAGCGGGTTCGTGTCGCGAGCGTGAAATCGCGGAGACGCGGAATCAGGGTCGCGTGACCGGGACCCTGACCGTGGCCCAATGTCGACATTTTTCAGTGGGAATTCTCCTCGAATCCTTTCGCACAGCTGACACATTTAGAAGCAGGACGAATACGGCGGAGTCATTTCCGTTCGACATGAAACGTACGAATTAACTTGAGTACTGTTGCGTGTAACTGTATCACAATTTTATAACGATAAGGATGCGAACTCTTGAGATCCAATTAAGATTTCTTGCTTGTCGCTCCTTGAGACATGCTTTCGAGAAGTCAGAAAATCTCACTCTTCGAAAATTTAAATTTAGAAAAAAAATCTCATGACTTAGGGCCGGTTGTTTCAACCTGTTGGTAATCTAATTAATAGTTAAATTATATGTCTATCTTTGTCTAATTTGAGGGAAAAACAAAGACATATATGTGATTCCAACAGGTTGGAACAAGCAGTCCTTAATGCAGTTGTACTTTGTATACGACATTAATGCCGAAGATTATTTCTTTGTTCTTTCAAGAGACTTGAAGAATGCAAATGTAATGTAAATGGATGTTTTATAATTAATTTAGAAGCCTATTCACTTTTTTATCTTGATCACGATTTTCTTCGATGTGCATAAGCATATTTTTTTTGCAGCGATTACTATATCTCAGACGAAGATGCGTTTTATTGCGAAGGCCAGAGACGAAGGTCTCACTAAATATCTGTCGCGTTTCTTTGAAAATAGGTAGACATTCGAGATAGTCCGAACTGAGACAGATTAATATGCAAATTAGTTGTTTCTTTACTGCAGAATCTCCCAAATATTTATTTCAGGAATGTCGACTTTCGATGTGCCTTGTGTCTCGAAGGACGACTGGTGAGCATAATTCAGAATCTGCGATCCCCGAGTCGCAGAAAAGTCGCGATGTTTTCTTTTTATAATTATAATAAGAGCTATTTTTAGCAAGCCCAAAAACGTTTCAGCTCCATAAACGCCCAAATATCTCAGAAGTGCAGGTACATTAAAAAAAAAGCGTTTATTTCAAACTGTTGAACGAAAAAAATCGATCGTCTAGTGGGTCAGTGGGTCGTCGTCACGTTAATTACAAAGACTCCAAAAGCCGTGTGTACAGTGCAATCACCTCTTGTCCAAGAATCTTCTCCAATCCCCTCTTCGATGACGTTTACTCGTGACTGGTTCACTTGTCGATGTTGCTATATCTTTTTTTCTCTGCAATTATATTACTATCTAATACAATGCAATATTAGTGAATAATTTAATATTAAAACAGAATAATTCAAATAATCTATCTTTCGTTATTCGCCAGCAATTGTATAAAAAATACCTAAATACCTAAATACCTAAATAAAATTTAATAAGATTTTAAAGAACATCCAATAGCATGTTATAAAAATTAACATGCTATGATTTTTATAAGCAAACTATTCATTTTTAAACAGTTTTTTTTTCAATTTTTCAAAAATTTAGGTTTGTTGATTGTACGATCATTTCTTAATAAATTTAATGATCTAAGTATAGATGTAACGGATATATCATACTCTTTGTTATTTAGAAAGATTTTCTGTTTGTTAAAAAATAATTTAAAGTTTGTGATATTTAAAGCCTTCTAAAGTTTTCTATGTCTATAGGAACCATTGATTCGATAATGTGTAACGTTAAAGGAATCTTTAAACCTCAGGCAGCAGGTAGCAGCGTCCTGAAAGTTTCAAAATTAAGATAACTCGGTGTGGTCCAGCAACGAGAAAGCATACCTCCGTATCAGTGACTGTATAATGGCTTTCTAACGGCCAAGCGGACAATTCGAAAGTTCTATGCAAATAGAGGCGATGGTCGAGGTCTTGTTGCGAGTAAAAATCTGTGAAATACGCAAGTTTGTCGACCCGGCACGAATATCTGCGCGCCGCCGCCGCTGCCATTTTTGTCGAGCCGCGGTACTTTCTTTCACATGCGACGGGTAATTGTTTTCCGCGTGCCTGGAACTTCCACGATGCGTAAATGACAGTTGGCGCGCGATTAGACCACGAGAAAGTTTGGTGAAACGTCAAGAAAAAGACTGAGCGTTGTGAATTGCGAGTCGCTTTAAAGATAGTAATTAGCAATCATAATTTATTACAAAAACCTGCTAAATTCTTGAAAAACTTATACGTACTAGTACATACATATATTATTTATAATATATAAAATATATGTGTAGAACATATATTATTTATAATATATAAAATATATGTGTAGAACATATATTATTTAATATACACTTTCGAAAATGTAGATGATTTCTGTATACCAATTTATAAGTGCTAATTACTAATTACTTAAAGGAACTCGCAATCGGTTTTTCTTTAAAAAATAGACAACAGATAAAACATAATACATATATATTTGTTATAAACTTAACCAACAGATATTGAAAGCTATATCGCATTGTCTTCCATAGAAGATCAGTTACCAATTGCGAGGAACGTCATGATAATAGACTGCGACTCGTTCTTTCTCTTTCATGAACGGTTGTGTTTTATTCTTATGTTGTATTCTTATGTCTATCACTCTCGTGCGCTCAATCGTGCTGTCCACTTGGCGATAGCGTGACCGGCCATTGAAGTCGCCGGGTTGAGCAGAATAACGGGAGACATAAACGCGTTGGAGATATTCGCCGCTCGAGCATCGCTGCCTTGATAATCACGACGGTTCACTTTTACTGATTAAAATGGCAATTGAATTAAACGTTGCAAATATTCCGCGTGTCAGACGTTTAATAAAAATCTAAATTTATTTAATATAGAGGATGCAACTGTTGTGTAATATATCGGTAATCACGTAAGTATAAATTATCGTAAGACTTTAAAAATAAATTACACTCTCTCTATAAAGTTATGTCCGTAAATGTTAATTAATATAACTTCATTAAATAATTGTAAATGTTACGAGTCAAACATACATATAGTCACGCAGGAAAAGTTTAAAAAATTCCTTCTCGTGTATGCATCGGAAGCAGCAGCACTTCCGACACGTAACGTAAGCATTCGCTTTTCCGTCACGTACTCCTATCTTTGGATAGTCACGAGGTCATCGTAGCTCATATTAATGTATCATGATGATGATGTTGTGAAAGCCAAATCGTTTTACGTATATCAAACCACTTATTCAGAATTTATAACTACATTTGACTGTTATTTATAAATTTATATTTCTCATTTTATTTAGTAGATTTACGTTTAGAAAATGTTTTTCCTAGATGGCTTAAAAAAAATTTCTACATTCAGAAATCAGTATTATTAATCATACTCATGGTAATTAAGATGCATAGAATAAAAACTCGGGATATTTTGCAACTTTTTCGCGGAATGTGAATAAAGGGTAAGACAAGATCATGATATATAGGTTTAGAGCGCGCAATATAGTGTCTGGCATTTAACCAGGAACTATCGCGTGCGCGCGCGTATAAAAGCCCTGGGGCCCGTGAGACCCCTATAACAGGTCACTGCCATCGGAGAGAAGCGAGCAGGTTCGAGGCGCTGAATCCCTTTACAGAAGAAGGGGAGCCTGTTTATCCGTGCTGCATTTCACACGCACATACTGACACGCACCATGTGAATTGTACATTTGCGAATCGAGTATCTCGCGGAGAGGCAGAGCGCTCTTGTCGTCGCGTAAAATCGTTCAAAAAAAAGGTAGAAAACAAATAATCAATTTGCATGCGCGTCCAACAGGTTCAGATTCAGGCCTAACAGGAGGATTATCTCTCACTTTTGTATTCGAAAGATGTGAAAACGACGCATCCGTGTCTCTAAGAAAATTTAAACGCGGAAAGTGCGCGCGCGTGACAACGCAACGGTAATCGAATTTCTGAATTACATTAGGCGGCGTGCGAATTACGTTATAAGAGAACGACACGACCATTCGCGCGGTACCGTTCTTAATAACGGTCACCCGGTATAACGCTCTCCGCTCGAGAATGGAGCAATGTTCCGCGCGATTGCGGGTCTCATCAGCAGGAAAGAGCAGCGACAGTTCCACGCGTCTTGTAATCTCGGCTTTATACCTTTGCGAAATTACAGCCGAGAGTCCAGAGATTATGGTTTACGAAACTTCGCACGGAGCATTTTTGCGGAGCAGAGTCGCGCGCGCACGTTTCCAAGTACGCTGATTGAATTACAATGAATGAAAGAGGATGCGATTGAAAACGAAAGATATGAATAAATTGCAAATATTGAAATATGTTGATTTACGTCAATGCTGTTACGTCTTGGGCGAAAAGACTTTCTCGAAATTATAATACACTTAGGCGCTTGTTGTACTTTTCTCCGTAAACGACGATATGTATCAATTTCTGTATAAAACCGTTTCGTATTGCGTTTAAGCAATTTCTCCTCTTAATGCGAAAGTTGATACGCGAATATTTCTAGTTACTTTGCTGTTAGCATTTTTTGCGTATGCAACATATGTACAACATGCGTATATCGCATTATATATCGGGAAGAAGAATATTATTCATCTGTGTTGGTAGAAGAAACTTTCTCTTCATTATTTGCAAGAAAAAAATTCCGAAAATCTCGAAATAATGTCAACCGCGAAATTAATTTATTCCTCTAAATGTCTAAATGATTGGTGTGTACGATAAATTCGACCGAGTAAAATATCGATTATTTTTTGTCACGATAAGCTTTCAGCACTAAGCTGCAAATTTATCTCCGCCATTATGTTAAGAGGCTGAATATATCTGAATTGTTTTATTGGACAGATAACATTTAAATGTTTGAAACAAGATTGGCATTCCACAAATTCCTAAGCTATAAAATCTTGGCATATCTGCATTTTTTTCTTTCCGTGCATGCTTTACCGTATCGCTGCTGTATAAATGTGGAACGCTTGTTGCATTCGGGGCGTAAGGTTCAATGAAATGTAACACAGCCCGGAGGCAACGTCTTCCTGGAAATCGGAGAGATCATTGCTTGCGCCACGCTTGTGCCCGATTTTCACCTCTGCGTCTCGTACGTATATGTAAGTGCCGCCGCAGGATTCTCCGAATTCATTTTATTACAACTGAATGTCTCCCTTGCGTAACCGCCGATGTTACTGCGGGGATATAATCGCGGAATAAATTAAACGAAGATTCATGATGCGTGTTATATACGTGCTATCTTCTAAAATTCCCACCGTGCAACTAGAAATTAGGATGTATTATCTTAACCCGGGATAGAAACGTACATTATATAATACGTTTAAAGAGAGAATTATTCAATTAATTATTTTTTTAATACATAAGACGAAATATTATATTTTTATAATTCTTAATAAACATCTTATTTAATAAAAAGATATGTCTTTATGGTAAAGACATTGATTTATCGGCAACTTTTTATTATTAAACAAGAAAACTTTTATGTAATAACCAGTTTTTGATAAATACATTTCGCACATATTTTGATTATATGAATAACATTATATAAAAATGTAAAAATGTTTTCTAAATAAATTTGTTTTCAGGTTTATATAATTGACTTTCGATCATGCTTAACGTTCAGCGATCGAGAAGATCTACTTCAGTAGATCGAAGTCGAAGGAAGAAATAAATAATACGAAAGATTGTTGTTACAATTATTATTGGTACTGTTATTATCGGTATTATTGTGTTGTTACTATTATTATTATATTGTTAGTGTGGCATCTGACGCATAACAATATGGTACGTACACGGGATCGTGTTAGAATTCGTTCTTTTAATCAGAGAACCATTCTATCAACGAAATCCTGCGTTCGTACTAAATAACAACGATACGCAAAGTCAATTGGATTCATCGAAAGTGTAATACATATACAAGCTTCTTTTACTTTCGTTACATATACATATACAATCTCTAATCGGCATTGACTGTTCAGTGGCACGATACATGAGCAAATCTTCAAAGTCATATACGTCTATACTTCATCTTAAAGCGCTATCCAAATTCTTTAATTTTTTTATATCATAATAAGCATTTTATATAAACAATTTGTTTTACCAGTTACATTAAATAAACCATTTTTACATGCATTTTATAATTTAAATGATCGACAGAATGTTGTGAAGAATGATGTTAATGTTAATCGAAACTGTTCCCTGTTAGCATCCCACAGTCGAAAAATAAAAATATCCATATCGCGCAGTCCTCGATCTCCTTTCTCCTTCCTCACTTTATTGCAGAGGCGGGATAAAGGCCATTAGCCATGAACACACTGAACGGTCAAGGCGTAGTGCATGATTAATAACGATAGCGCGATAGATCGGTTAATTCATTAAATAATTCGCCAATTAAAAAAACGAGCTAGCGCATCAGTAGGGATGAAGCGCGGCTAGGCCCAATCTCGGCGGCTCGGCGTAGCTGTGACGGTATCTACCGGATGTCGGGATCATCTCCAACGGCGGTCTGGCACTTTCGCGATCGAGTCCAGGATATCTTTCGTGCTCCGACAGCTCTTGGTACGCCGTGCTCCTCGTTCGCAACTTATCGCGCAACTCCCGCGTATGCTGCGCACGTTCCCGAAATTCTCGCATCTGTTCAATGAAGAGATACAAAAGTCGTCATAAATTTGGAATAATGCTTAGATTACGCATAGTGCTAAATGCGATTTTAAATCGCGAAAACGATTCTTACGTCTCTCGGATCTACGAGATTCCTCTGATCTCTGAAATCTCTGCCGACCGGCGGATTCTCGTAGAAGCTCCTTGGCCGCGGCCTCGAAGTTTCCGGCTCGGGTGGACATTCAATCGCATAATGATGAGTCCTGGGTCGTGGTCTACCCTTGTAAGACACAAAATTTTCACGATCAAGATTGTCCGGCTGACTTCGTCTGATTGCATTCTCGTGCGAGGACATGGAGTTCATCATGCTCGCCGGATATTGGCGACCAGGTCGATCTTCGTGAACTTGTCTGGCTGACTGGACTCTGTCGAATAACAAGTCCTTGTAATTCGGTCAATTAACAATAAATAATAATAACATTTTAATGCAAAAAAACGTGATTCTTCGGGATACGATCACCTTACACATTTATTAAAATCGAGAATTTATCCGGAAATGTTTTCTTTTTATTAAAAAAAAAAAGTTTAGGAGAGATTTTCTACGAAAAGTTAAAGAATGTGGATACGCAGGATACCGACATTAACTGCAATTTCCACAAACATTCCCGAACGCATCGAGATATATCTTCATAAATTTCTCTTACGAGAACGCGTGTGATCGGTGAAAATGTTTGTTACTCGAAACCCGTTCGAGCGTGGAAAGCTGAACAGGACCGTATATGTGCAAAACGAAAAGCGCGACAGCGGTCGATGTCGCGTTCAAGATCTCTGGACTGATACTCTCGACGACGATGTTGCATTCCGACTTTTACTCGCGATCGAATTGCCCGTTTCGCCAACTAGAATATTCATTTGTATTAAATATCTGCGATTACGGAATAAATTTTACCATTTCCGTGTGGTAGAAGACGAACTTTCCTTATTTTTATTCTATTTATAAATTTTATACTTTGTTCGTTTGTTGCTCTATAAATTTTATTATTTATTTTATCTGTAGAAACATTATTTTTGAAGCACACCTGTGTACGGGATGATGATCGATGTCTCTCTGCCTGGAGAGAACAGGCCTGGCGATGGCCTCCCTCTCCATCGCCCTAAACATTTCCTTGGCATCTTGGAACCTTTCTCTGGGACTGGTCACCTCACCGGGATTGACCCTGGGCTGATATTGAGGACTCGGCGATCGCTGTCTAAATTCCGCCGCTCGTCGATTCCTGTTACAGCTCGGCGAAACTCCTCTGTTCACTTGATTGGGTAGCCTTTCGGGGCTTCGCGGTAGTCGCGGTAATGTCAGACTCGCAGCTGTCTCCACTTCTGGTAGATAATCATTATCCTCGTTTGGCACACCCCAATCGTCGTCTACAAAACGATTAACATATAAATTATAATTACTTCCAATTATAATTACTTCACTCCATTTACGTTAAATATTTCTCACTCTTCATATCAATGTTTTATCGCAGTTTTTACTAAATATAAGAAGCTTAATCATAAAAATGGATGACTTTATCTCATACCTATTTATGAAAGGGGGAATCAAATATTGTATTAAGTTTTTATTTAAAAATAGTTTCTCGCTTCTTCTTCTTCTTTTGTATAAGATAATAATCAGCGACATGGTTTAAAATCTCAAGTAACAGCGTCCGCCGACTCGTCCTTCCAATTTCGGTCCGTGAAAAATCGGCCAATGGTAATTCCCGCGGAATCTGGCATCTCAGTGAGGTCAAGGAAGATTTAAAGAGTAGTAGCGGGCTAAGGAGACGCAGAAGGGGCGGGGGGAAACACCGATGAGGCTCAGAGAGACACGAGGAGGCTGAGAGGTGCCTCGGGCTGTGGGCCGAGAATGCGGAACCTTATTCCGTACGTACAACGGCCTCCCACGAGGTCGACTCACGCACGAATTTATGCGCTGTTGCTCGTCGTCGTCGTCGTCGTCGTCGTCAAGACAACGTCTCATCATCATCATCATCAGCATAACTGTCATTACCCGTTGCCGTAAACAACGACGACACGGAGCGGCGCTCTCGGCCCCCGCCTTCTCTCATCCGCGTGTGGAAACGCGCCTCTTCGGAGAAGAGGACTCCTTTGCGCAACGATACGCAGTAAAAGACAACGGTGGAACGCCGTTACTGTATTAGGTAAGAATCAGAGGGTGAAATCCATCGCAAGTGCCGCCTCTGCGAATTTTATAAATGCACGCTTTTTCAGCTTTCTCGATAACGAACAGTTAGAATTATAGTTTATAGTCACATGAATTATTATTGATCGCCGTGCGAATAAATCAGTTTCTGAAGCGTTTGTGATCAACGGTGCAATTTTTACTTATCACGATATCGGCGACTTTCGAAACGGTACGCGTGTACATAACGGTGTATAACGAGTAACGAGATAGTAAAAATTCGTGCACAATAAGACGTCGACGAGAGACGTAATTGATTAGCATCGCCGCGAAGCGATAAGCTGACGTCTAATCTCCGGCCTGGGATCTAAGGCAGTTAGAATAGTTTCGCGCGAAATGCAGCTACGTAAGGCGAATGCAGAGGCGAATCGTGACTGTAAGACATGCGAAGGCAGTTAAGTATGTCATGTCGCTTTAAACCGCAAGGATTTCTGGTAGGAGCAAATGAGGCGCCGCGCGCCGTTCACACGGTGGGACGACAGCGGAAAAAAAAATCGCGATCAGGTGTTGACCATCGCGGTCCAGCATCTGTCGCGTCCTCTCTAATCATGCGAAACGTAAACGTGACGGAAAGAGGATGCGTATCCGCGTGTTGCGTCTCTCGATTATCCCATCTCGGAATAAATCAATATTCTCGAGTTAAATTTATTCAATATTAAATAAATAAATCGTCCTTTCTTTCGCAAAAAGTCGCGCAGAGTCATGTATCTTCTATGACAGTCGAATACTAGCGTCGCGACACCCGTAGGATAAAGTTTACGAGGTTCTTGAAATTATTGAGGACGGATCTGTTATCAGTGAATCCTGACATTCCGGTGCGGATAGCAGATTGGGGAGTAGGGAGATGTCGTTTGCATTAAACGACAAATGAGTTTACGCAGGCGGGCGGTCGGTATATGTAGCTTCAACGGGCACATGCGATAGCTTCGAAATTGGACACTTAGTTCGGAGTGTCCGAACGTGTTCAGCGTTGCCCCCCTGGGGAGACTCACCAGTGCGTCTCGTCGAATAACGACGAGTAAACAATATCTCCCTTCCACCTTACTATTCATGCTATTTCACGGTGACTGACCCGCCTTAATGCATGCCGGACCGCTCGAAAAGAAATGCTTACCGTAAAATCACCCGAACGCATCACTCTCAGAAAAGAATTCTAGATACAATAATAGGATCGAAATAGGGCCAATCATATTTTAATCTTAAATAGAAGAATTCTTAAATTCTATCTAGACTTCTAGATAGTATATTGTTTATCTTAAATAGAGGAATTTTTAAATCTAGAATAAAATAATCTTGATGCTATCCCTCTAATTTTCTCAGAATTATTCTAGATTCAAGAATTCCTCTATTTAAGATTAAAATATTCTTCTTTTAATACTAAATATGATTGGCCCTATTTCGATCCTAATAGTATTGTATCTAGAATTCTTTTCTGAGAGTGTGGGCCAGTTTTTAATTTAATTTAGAGAATATCGGAAACTTTTTAAAAATCAAATTTAATAATTCGAGTCGAGTCATCATCACGCGCCTGCAGCGCGCGCGATTTCAATGCCGTTGTTTTGGCATCGCTCGCTAATTACTCTTCATAATGCGGGAATCTCCACGCTGCTAACGGTACATAATTACGTGGGACACTTGGATTTTTCTATTTGCGAGTCTATTGAAGCCGCGCGGAGATGCCCGGGCTTTCGTGCAAAGTCTTGGCCGCCACAATATCGACGATCAGCTGGTTTTTTTTTTTCGCGGCCGTACGTAGCCCTGGAGCCAGCCGAAGATATGTACGCCCGTCGCCGTCGTGCCGCCGTGGTACCTGCCGCTGACACGACGACGTCCTAACGGTATTCCTTCCACTGTAACAGGTGCTCAATACAATCTCTCTCTCGTGTACGAGCTTGACGCCGGAGCCGAGCGTGTCGTCTACCCGGTACACGGTGCGGCGCGGGGATATCGAATTCGTCTCTTTTTTTTTCTCCCTTCCGTCCTGCTCATCTCGAAATTTATTCAGCGACGTTATATGGGTCAGTCGTCCGTTAAAAACACGTTTCTCGCGAGGTAGGCATGCCCCGGAGGACGACCGTGATGCTTTGATATACGCGCGTCGCGTGCATCTTAATGCGCACCGCTGCGATATCGGACTACCGCGCTGTTTTGTGCATAAGATAAAGCAAGTAGAATGGACCGAGTGGACTCTCATACGCGCGCGCGCGCGCGCGGCGCTCAAAGAAGCATTTATACTAAACATCACCGTTAGTCTTCTCTCTATCATGCCGCGTTCCCATTCTCAAGATACTCTCCCTCTTTCCCTCCGTCCCAAAGGGTATATTGCAAATGAAATAAATTTCTCTTAATCGGATCGTGAGCCTGTGGACGTCTTCTTTCCTCATCGGACATCGGTAGTCACTAGTCACGGTTTGTTGTCTGCGGTCGCACCGCCCACTTTGACAGATTTGTAACCGCAGAAAATTTCGGTCGCGCAGATCGAAAAGCGTAAACAGTGTACAAGATGTATTACACAGAAACGCGAAGGGGCCGCCAGTTTGCGGAACGTGACTCTTTCGCGTTATGATCAGCTTTCCTGAATTCGATGAATGAACTTTCGTTGTGGCCTAGATCGACTTTTTATAATGAGGGTGCGATTTTTCGCGCATTTTCGTCGCATAGAGGTGTCTCGCAAATGCGTTTTCGGGCTTGACCGCGGTGAAAGTAGATAATTTTATTGTTAAAGAAGGCCACGTGCGCTTTGGCAAACCAGGCCGAACTCGATTCCGTATTCAATGCGGAATCTCGGTGGCGGAACAGCCGGAAAAGAAGGAAGGAAAAAGCGGACGTGCTCGAGGACGACAACGAGAAATGATTTTTCGTAGCTAACCGGCAAACTGGGTTACCAGGCCGTTCGGCTCGCCACTGCCCAGTTTTCTACGAGAGCCGATAAGATTCGAATCGAGCTGGCACGCATGGGAATCTGTCCCGCCAGTAGAAAGTGCCCAAATTTTTGTCGTCCCCCCCGGTCGTGAGTCGGGTATGAATCTTTAAACCGTGGAATCATTTCCGCTTTCGTGCGCAGAAGACTGCATGTAGATTGCGAGAGATACATATGTACGCTTGAGAGTTTTTCCTCTCCGAGAGGCAAGATACAACATCGGGAAGATAAAGAAATTCAATCGGTTGAATTATCCTTTTGTGCTTTCCGACAATAATGGCGGCAAAAACACCGTTATTTTGTCAATTTTCGACAGTAAGTTTTTTTAAGAGTAATCATTTCGTTCTCTACGTTTATTGCCGCACATAAAGCCGATTTCGCCGATCTCGGTGATTCTCCTCGCTTCGAGAAGAATGATTATTGGGTGCGCGATCATTTCCTGAGACGGATCGCGAAAAGAAGAAGCGAGGACTTTCACTTTCGTACGGCGCCCAGCATCGGCTTGCGTTTATCCGCTTAACCGGCGTAATGATGCGTCCAGTCAACGGCACCGCGAGATTATTCTAAAAACTTTCCATTTTGTAATTAGCCGCAAATTATGTAACGATGCAGTTCTTTTTTCTTCGTCTTCTTCTACGCTCCCCGGTCGGACGGGCGCGTTTATATGTATAACTTCAATCTTCTTCTTCTTCTCCCGCGCGAGATCGATCTCTCCGTGTCGACTTTCGATATTTTACGACACTATTTACAGATCGGTCTTAGAATATATAAATCGAGCAAGTTGTACAACTTTCGAGATGTTACAGCTATCGCGGCGTGTATAAGGCGTGCGATAAATTTAATTGCCGGAGTCGACATGGTATAAATTTCCCATTAAAGTATGCCAAATGAGAAGGTAAATTGCGACGAAATAGCAGCTTCGAGGTAAACCCGTGTGTTTACGTCCTGAAAACCTATTTTCGCGGCCGTGTAACGTACCCACACAAACGATACTCTCGGAGGTATCGGCCGATGACGCGGAATTTCTATAAACCGCCGCCGAGTGTAATATTCACGGCGAGTTTCACACTCGCTAGACTCGCAATTGTCACGCTCGCAGCCAATTTTACGCACGCTCCTCGAGACGCAGGCTTTCTTGCCTGAAATGGGATGTTGCATCGTAACTTGACGCAACGGCCGCGAGTCGCGAAAATGCTTCTCAGACGGTCGCGTTGCAACGACCTACTTGCTAACGCCTAATTTCATACATGTGTTTCTTAATATCACTACAAGCTCTAGTTTGTCGGAAAGTTCTGGCGTGTTGCGCCAATCGAGAGTTTTAATTGCCGAATAATTATGGAAAAAATGTATGAAATTAAAGAGCTTTGAAATTTAAGATTTACGATATCAAGATTATACAGAAGTTATTTATTTATGTACAAAACCAAAAATTGATTTAAAAAACTGAGAGTTACTAAAAACATCAAGGAGAAAATTATCTAAAGATTCTTGGAATTAAAAATGCATTATTCTTGGTAAGAAAATTTCGAAAAAAGAAAGTTTCAATAAGGATTATCCGCACTGTTTCGCAATGTCAAATTATATTCAATTTAAGTCGTTTTTAACCATTGCTATATAGGTCGCTCCTGCTCCTATTCAATATATTAATTTAACTAAACCAATGGAGTTAAAATAATACTGTTTTGTGTTAGAATAATAAATTTCGACACACATGAGTTAAAAATAACAAAATGTTATTTAACTTAAGGTATTGGTTTGATCCTTTAATATTTAACAGGGTGAGAGCAACTCATTCTCATTTGGCTTATCTCCCAGATCTTCGCTATGACGAAAGTCACTCACCGGAAGAGGAATCTCTGGACGGTCTGGACGGTCTCGGGCCGAGGGAATGATGCGTCTGATAAGGCGGTGGCGTTGCCGCGCTATCGGACCCTATGCCGCTGCTGGCCGCGCTTCTCGTGCCACCCCTGTCGATGGCCGTGCTACCACCCACGATGGTCTGATTCAGGCAACGCCTGAACTCGATGCCGGCCAGGTTGCCGCGGTGCCTGTGCACGGTATCGTAGTCGCGCGGCGGCAGTAATATCGGGCCGACGTCATTGTCACCGGAATTGCCTCTGCCTGAAACACGATTGTCTGCTTCGTATACCCACGTCGCCTTGACACGCATGACGCGTACGCGGACGTTCGTTCGCTCGCGGGCGCGCGCCCATATCGCTAACTGCGACAGCAGCGTTTTATATATGAATGGCAATGAGAGAGAAACGAACGAAATTCTCAGGCATCCCCAAAAATCGCTCGTATAATTTATATTGTATCTTACACTTCTACTTTTTTTTTTACTTATTTATGACTTTCTGTATAATCTCATACAAGATACACGTAATATTCTTCGAGATATTCAAGATATTTCATTTAGCTCCCGACATAGATAGGAATCTTGTATGACAAACAAATGTTAAGGAAATGCAATGTTCGGAAAAGATACTCACCTAATTTTGCCCGCAACTCGGCGGCCAAAGACTCGTAAATGGTCGTGGTTTGGGCCGGGTCGTGTCTGAGCTCACCGCTACCTTCGGAAGACTCGGACTCTCTGGTACTTCGGCCATCGCTGCCTAGATTACTGCGGATTCTGCCCTCGCTCGCCGTGACCCTGGCCAAATTGTCGGTGTGTGACGCCAGCGCTTTCAGCTGGCCACCTAACAATTCGGCGGTCTCGACCGAGTCGCATCTGGAACGGCGAGAAAAGCAAGGCGAAAGATAAAACGAGGTTTCTACCTTCATCAAAATGACGGAGGAGTAAAACGAGAGACAGATGTAATCTCATCCTGTTGGCTCTATGGCGATACTCCAGAATTGTAATTTGCCCGTCTCCCTTTATGTAACGTCGCACGCAAATGCTATACCGAGTGTCTCGAAACAATCGAGCAGCGGCAAAACAAGATCACGTGGATAAAGTACGGTACAAAACTTTTATGTACATTAAGTGTGGGATTAAGCTGTTCTGTTTATGAAAAATGCGTGAAAAGTGCGCGTTTTATTACGTGTAGATGTAAGCCCGCGATAAGTACAATCGCCGTTCCCAGCGAGAAAAAGATCGACCACTTCTTCTCATTTAGGTCGCCGGTATATAAAGTAGGTACACAATATGTTCATCGCGGGATATAATATGTATAGCTGTAATATCTTGTCCGAGCTCTTCTCTCTATACAGCAAAATGTTCTTTAACGGGACTTTCATTGAGCATACCAAAGAGATCGCGCGCCTTCGCGGTTAACTTCGATCGAACAATCGGTGTCGATTCTCATGGGACGACATTTACAACAACCGTTTGTGTCCCCGCAGCCTCGTGCACGAGATAAAATTCGGTCGACACCTCCGAGCTCCAAATAATTACTTCGAACGCGCGCTAATTATCACCGTCGCTGTGAAGCAGATCGTTGAACTAATAGCCCTGATAATTTGCAATTTAATGACAAGGTTGCTCCGAATACTTTTATCCGCTCGCCGCTTTGCCGCGACGATATAACGCCGGCTGAGCTACGTGCGAACGTCGCGGGATTATGAAAATCATTGACGATCCGTTAGAATTACGAAAGTCGTTAATTAAGGAACGAAACGTGGCTCGTAATGGGTGAGATCGAGGCGATGAACCGAATGGCCTCTGTTTAACCGCGAATTCCTGCCACGGACTTGATAGATAAATAGCGTGGCTGCAATGTAGGTATCTCTTAGGTTCCCATGTTACGTCTGCATTCTTAATAAAGGTCTCTACACTTTTATAAAGGACTGCACTCTCTTGTCTGATTAATGATTAAGTGATTCGAATATGTCTGATCGTCTACGGAAAGAGAGCAGAGCTAGTTAACATGAGAGTTGTTTTATTCTCTGTCAATCTTAACAGTAAATCAACATTAGAATGTATTGAAAATTACTTCTCTTAGATTAGCTAGTTTAAGTTATACATTTAATTATCACTATTATGTTTATTAATTTTTCTGTTAGTTTGCATAATAAATTGACGTAGTAACCTGTATGCGTGCACGTGCACGGGATTGTTGGTCGCCGGATTTGGCAGCAGCAGGGTCGCGGCCACGATGTCCTCCCGCTGCACGGCTGCCAGGACCGCGTGACCTGGTACCAAGTGCTTCACCGCCGACCTTGTCGAACCACCAGGGTGAACAGTTTGTATAATCTTCAGACCTTTGTTGCTCACCTATTAAAAATATAAATGCACGCCGTTCACGCCGCTGGTTGCGAAGTTCGCTCGCGCGCGAGTTCCTTGCGCAAACCGTGACTTTCTTTGTACGATACATCGCGAGGATACTTTGCGATACGTTCCATGCACATGACGTTTAAATACATAATTAATGAGACAGATATAGATTAAAAATAAAAAGAATACATGTCTCTCGGAATGAAATTTCGTTCCTTGAATTTTTAAAAGCGCGACGATAGCATTGTCCGCACAAGTTATTAATCAATTCATATAATAATCAAAGATTCTCGCATCGCATAATTTTAGCTCTCTCTCTCTCTTGATTGCCTTGTTCTTCATCTGCGCGTCCCGCGCAAACGTTCGTCCTTGTACTTAAACTGAATCACGTGAGAGATATGCGAGAAGGCGTGTGCCGCGTACAATGTGTTCCACTTCGCGAAATCACTTAATTACCGCGCTGTCGATCATCGCGACGATTCGGATTGCTGAAACGCTCGCGAGACCGGTTATGGATATCTACCACCCACGAGAGATAGATACCATGGACTTTCCCCGCGCATCGTCGCTACGCTGACAATTAAACTTACACAACGATTAGGTGGAGTTATAGTCTCGTTTCATAACGCGTTTTTTTTTACGCACGATGTACGTGCTTTGCCGTGAATTTCGACTGAACAACAAGGGCATTGAGTAAATTAGAAAAACCAGCAGCGAAAACAGGAAATGAAAAAATCGTAAGAATATATAAATATTATATGTTATATTTGAATATATAAGTATTTATGTTACATTTGTTTTATCTCTTAGTTTTGTACAAAGCAAACGATAAAATTTGACATGAACTTTCGCGATAACGTGCGAATACAGTTAGAGATAAAACCTAATCGGTTACTCAACTGCTCAGGTTTCCATCGTAAACCGTTCACGCGCGGTAATCTCCTTTTAACAGCCCGGACTCGGCGCATCTGGCGAACCCTAATGCGACGCAGGGTAAAAATTCATTACAAAGAACCCGTTTGCTTCATTTCACACCGTTAATACGTACGGCTAAATCATGTTTCGCGCTGTCCAGATTCGAAAACTGCGGATTCGAAGCGAGATTTATTGCATCACGTATATACCGGCGCGGCGGCGATTTCTAAACGAGCGAGCGTATTCATTTTCAGACGCCACTTGATATGCGTCGGGGAAGCGCACGCCACGTGTCCACGTTTAACGGTCGCGAAACAGTTTTGGCGTCCGTACGTTTAATTTCTCTTTTCTCCATCAAAGCGGCGTATTAGCAACGCGCTCGTTTCTGATAAGATTCGGGTCAGTGAATTTATTATTACATTTACGGCGAACGCGTAACGTTACAAATACATAATCAAAGCTGCCCCTCGGGGAACGATTTCGTTGCACGCACGTAGTAACTGTCGGAAAGGAAATGACGTTGAAAAAAACGCGTCGTCGTTTCACCAATAGTCACGGACGACCAAGGATCTTTTAACGGGAATTATTAAATCGTGCTATACGGATGACTTCTTCCTTCTCCGTATACATGTATTGCGAATGCGCGTTCCATCGGGGTTAATGGCGTCTCTCCCCGGCCGGGCCGCGCGTTTACCGAAAATTCTCACGTTCCTAAAATGCACCAAAGCGCCGTCAAACCGCGTCGGAACGTTTCGTTCGTTCGTTCCGCCGTAATCGGCCGGACGCGAAAACCCGTCGAGCGAACCAACCTGCAGCTGCGGGATAAGGTGCGTGATTTCGCTTATTTTTCTGCTCTCCGGCAACTGCTTTCACTGTCACGCGTGCTGACACGCAGGAAAAAGAAAAAAAAAGACGAAGAAGAAAAAGGAAAACGGAAACGACGGTGCAATGTATCGACACGAGTTCCGATCGGTTGGACGCGTGGATCGTCGTCGTCGGGACGATTCGTTTCCGCGATATTTTCGGCGCGCGCCGCCGAAACCGGATTTCAGGATGGTACCGCTCACCTGCAGTGTGACCTTGAAAGGTTCTTGAAGTCGTTCCCGCTCCAGCAGATAAGCTATGGCACCGGGCATCGCGTCCACCCCCTTGGCCTCCCTCGCGCCAAGGTACCAGACGTAATAGAAGCTCTTCTTGACATCCTTGCTACCCCTCAGGCGCAGGGCCATCACTCACTGTTCGCGGAAATAAACGGAATTTCATCATTTCGTCCTCTACGGCTGGCTACGGGGAGGGACTCGTTATCCAGGAAACGGATTGATACGGTGAATGCGCTGGATAGTGGATACGGCCCGTTACTATGGGCGTATTCGATACTTAATCGACTCGTCGGATGAGTGCCGTCGATTCATTTATAATTTAAGAAAACAAAATTATAACTTATAAACGAGAATTCTCTCGCGATATTTCTGTTTCTTGTCGTGAAACTCTAGCTCACGTCGCTTTTCAAATAAATAAATAGCGTGACGCTAATTTAATTTGGAAGACAACACAATTAACAGAATCTTTGACACAAAGCGTGGCTACAGTTCGTCGTCCTTGACGGTTGTTACGAGATCTCTTATTATTAAAAAGTTTAAAAAGTTCCGATAATATGAATTAAAAATCGTGATAGAGATGGCGTAACATCATGTGATATTGAAACGATGTCTCTCGTATGATGGATAGCGAGGATATAGCCATTCGATGATGCGAACATTAGCGCATGCTAACGCGCGGAAGTGTTCGTCGGACCTGCGGAAATTGCGGATAATCTTACGCTCGCGAGGAACGTAAACGGACACTATTTTCTGAATAATTCTTCTTTAATTATACCCTACGCCTCGCGATCGAGGAAAAACGTCAATTTTCCACGAGCTCAGGCTTTTACCTGACCGCCGTCGTCGTGCGAAGGGCATGAGCGAGCCTGTCGGTTCATCCACTTCCTCAATTACTTTCACGCTTAAACCCGTTTCCACGTTATCCATCTCGCGGCGGTTCATTTCCCACTGATGCTTAAAGTCGACGGTGGTTTATAACGAAAATATTTTGCAAGATGAAAGTGTGCCGATATACGCCGCGATCGACGAGATAGATCGTCGAGGAAAATGTGCGTTTCCAATCGATCTCGACGAGTATCAGCTTTAGATGTTCCATGACTCCTTATTTTTTTTTACATGAAATGTTTTATTTTAATGACAAGATGTGCAAGTTCATCGAGATTCGCTGTGTTAAAAATAGCCTCAGATCGTATTCGTGCGAATACGTCGTTTTTCCATTTGATCCTTAAATCAACATTCGTGCGTAACTACATAAACATGCTTTGCACGTTTCTTTTCCACTTGATGCTATACGCGTGCACGAAATTTCAAATATTTTGATTGTATCATCGCATGAATGGCTAGATTCTTTCAGAAAACACTCGAAAAATTGATAATTTGCAAACTTTCTTTTTTTTTTTTTAATTAAACATAATTAATTTCCACATTTATGAGGTCCGTGTGCACTTTAAATTCACTAGCGTCACTTCAATTTAAAAAAAATGTCGATTTAAATTAAATTAGATTTAAAAAACAAATGGCAAACGATCGAAGAATATATTGAGATGATTTGAGGATCTTTAAATATTTCATCAGAATCGGTCCAAACTTGGTAGCCCTACCGAGAACCCTAGTCCCTGCAGCGAGAAAGGATATACCGCAGGGACCCTATGCTAACACGCTACCGTAGATCGCCACTTGCCTGTATATATGTCGGAGGTCTTCGCCTCGCGTTTCGCAGCTATCCCGAGGAAAAAGTCCGCGAAATCCGCGTGCGAATCTATCGGATCCTCGGCAACGAAACACGCGCGTCCCGTCACTACGTCACATGCACACGAACCGTGGGCGCACGAACACGATATGCACACCTGTAACTCGCGGCCTCGTCTGACAGCTGCGGGAGAACCTAACCACTTTTCCACGGGGCACGGGGCCGTAAGGCCGCTCCGTTCTGCCGAGTGACGCTCGCCGATCTGAACGGCGGGAACGGAACGGAACGGAACCAAGGGGGGGACCCAGGAGAGCGGGCCCCTTCGCGACTCGCGAAGAAGCGAAATCGGCCTTCTTCGAGGCCCCTCGGCTCAGCTCGCCGACCTGTTGCGCGCCGAGGACGCACCGAAACACATTTCGGGCATATCGATACGTTAAATTCCGCGGGGGATAATGGGAGGATACCGCGTGCGAGTGAGAAAGAGGAGAGAAAAAGAGAAAAGAGAAAGAAAAAAAAGGGAACCAGTGAACGAGGGAGAGAAGGAGCGCGACGATCCGAGATTTGGCCGCGGGGGCCTTACGCCCGGCCCTATGGCGACCTCTCACGCTCGTTCCGAAGGTCCCTGACGTCTTCTGATCTTCTCTTGCCCTTTCTCTCGCCTCTCCTATCCCCCGCTCTCTATCTGACCGCCACACCTTCTCGACGATCGGACTTGGGATCGGCCGCGCGGACGGTAACGTGCTCCGCTCTCGGAAAGAGAAAGAGAGAGGCCAGCGACTTCTAACCGGCGCGCTGCCGGACAGATTCCGTCCTGAATTCGTGTCTCGGGCACCTCTCGCCTGTCTTCGAAGAAGAAAGAGAGAGGAACGGGTCTTTTCCACTCTCCTCCCGGCCTCCTCTTCGCTCCTTTCCCTCTTTCTCGCGCCTCTTCCGACGACATATCTCTCTTCGTCTCTCTCGGGTTGTCTACCTGTTCGCGTCTACCTCCTATATCGCTCGCGTTTTATTCTACCTGCCTCTCTTTGGACCTTTGCTAAAGACCGATTGTGATGGGATACAGGCCCAACGCCCAACTTAGTGGACGAAAACAGAAAAAGAGAATATTCATTTTTATGATCTCCTTCCTTCGCCAGATATAAAATTTTATCAGTTTCTCTCGCGGTCCTTTTTACTACGTCGTTTACTATCAAAAATTCTGGCCAAAACATGCCTGAAGAAAGAAAGACAAAATGAGAGAGAAGGGAGGCGAATGAGGCCTCTAACAGCGAGTGCTTCTCCCTTGCGCACCTACGTCCGTATATAGACATTACAAGTATTACAAACTCGTTTCATCAGACGTCAAATATTTCAAAATGCGACGATTAGTGATCGATGACTTTAAGTGGATTAGTTGCCTCATATCGGAGGCAATGACGACAGATATAGAGAAATCACGAGAAAACTGAGAAGATTGATGGACGGTTTGCTCCATCGGATTTAAACGATATCTATTGTGCAATCATTTGGATTTGCAGCTTCAATCGACTCGATCAATGAGTCACACGTAATATCCAAGGTTCCATCCAGCGATTTAGCAAATATTTGCAGCCTCGAATCACCTGGTGTAAATATTGCCTCAGCATTTGATCGCGCGCGCGGCATTTCCTTTTCGATAAATCATACATAATTCATAAATACCGTAAACTCTATACCTATCTCCTCTCGTAAGGATCATATTTATAGAATACTTTCTAGGTACGATCTCTTTTGCATTTACGAAGATGGAATACATGGTTGTTAACGTCATCGAGAGATTTGCATAAGTGTCAGCATTTTATCCGAAGCGCTCATTATAATTGAAATCTAAGAGATCCTTAAGAGAATGACAAATCATGAAAAAATTATTCGGCGATATCTCTCTAGAAAATAAGAAATTATCGTCAAACGGGTTTGTTCTCTTGAGACAGGAAGCCTGCCATTTTATAGCGGCGTATGTATGCATCACGGGGGAAGTTCAATCTAATCAAAGTAACGGCTTGCAGCGATTGCCGCGCTCTGAAGCTCGTGGAAACGCGTTTTACATAACTTAACATATGTAAGGTGTCTGGGGTGCCTAATCGCGGGCGAAGATACGGGAAAACAGAAAGGGACTTGCGAGTGAAGTGCGGCGACGTTGAAATCAAACACATTGAGAAAGTGCACGCGGTCGATAATGGAACTCGCGCGAACCTCGTGCGAAGCAGCTGCTGGCAAGTTGTGAAACGTAATGCCTTTCTTGTGATTAGAAAGTTGCAATATTAATATTGAATTTGCGGAAATTGGAAATTAACATTTTTTTCAGCAAATACGTCTATTTAAAAATAAAGCATGTAAAAAAATGCTTTAATAAGTATTAAATAAGCGTTAAAAAAATGCTTAAAAAACGCTTAAAAATGCATTTTTATTTACGGATTTGCTTGTGCGAAAGTAAATCGTAATGTCCTTTGCTTGAAATAAAAGAGGGATAATGCGAGATAAACTTTTGTTGCAGTATATTTTCAAAAGATCATGCTGAGAACGGCGGAAATAATATACCGCTGCTAAACAATAAAATTACTCATACCGATGTTGATGTCGTTCCATTGCCATTTGCGTGCAGAGCGGAACTCAATTTTTGGATCTTACAACGCGAGTATTGTTAGCCAATCTTGGAGTCGTGACTTGAAAATTTTTTTTTGGCGAGATTAAGTATTTTTTTTTTATCACTGTGCCATACGGAGAAGATATAAAAAGTCACGATATATGATTAAGTAGCATCCACAAAAGTAGTTTCGAGGGTAAAACGAGGAAGCGGAACGAAACGCGCAAGATATAATAAAACGAAGAAAAAGATATCATGTTCTCATGCATTAAAAAAACCAGTATTTTTAAGTAAAATACTAGCGGCGTTATACTTAAGAAATAGATTGTAGCAATGCTATACTACAATATTAAACATATGAACAAATATAAATTTGTTATAGAATATACATTTTTGTATCAACAATATACGTTATTTCATGCGAAATTCAGTAAACGCGAAACGCGACTAGTTCGCCATCGATTTAAGCTAACTTAAGAAAGATCTGTAAGGGGCATTAAGACATGCCGCAGCCCTGACATTTCGCCGATCGCACGAGGTCATGCGATTAATTTGTATTATTCCTGTTAGTACCTTGATAGTTCCTGATTTTCACTTTCTCTTACACGCAGTAGTCCTTAAATAACTTATACATTTACTTCCGAAGTTTGCGTCCATAAAATAAGACGCGACAACAATTAATGATTCTAAAAATACTGAAGCCTTGAATAAATAACGAAAAAAAAGAGAAGTTACATTGACGTTATAGAGCGTTATTACTTGAAAAAAAGAAAGAAAAATATATAAAAATAGCTGTTTTCTGTATCAGAAAGATAACAATACATAACGTTAAAAATAATATAATTATTATCGGATCACATAATTGTAAATATTTGTGATCGAGATTGATTGATGTAAACATAAACCATGTCACAGCTCAAAAAGTATGACGCTATATAACTTCGACGGTTCGGTAATAGATTGCAGCACCGTGTAGCAACTTCATGGAAACCTAACGTAATGTAACTTTAATTTGATGTCGTGTCGCAATAGAGCATTACTTTAGAACTACTCTTACAGTAATGCTAATTATTATTTTATCATCGAAAGTAAATGTACGCTCGATGCTGCGAATGTCTTAACACATTAAATTTTATCGTATTTAATTAAATGCTTGTATCCATTTGCATTATGCAAATTGTTTAATTATGAAAGTATTCCTGGAATCAGTATGTATTTATAATTATTAGTGATCTTTTCATTTCTTCGTAAAAGGCGAGATTAAAAAATAATGCGATTTACTTGGTTAGTAGGTCTCGAGAGTTATGCTGCGAAATTGATATGCGTGTTATTAAATGAATATAGTACGAGCATCCTACTTTGCGTATCAATAGCTCCTAAGCACGGAAATATTTCAGGCTGCATCGCCACTCTGAATCGTTTCGTGAGCGCCATTATTAATACTGAATCATGTGGACGTAAGAAATAACTGGATCGTGATTGGAATCCGTGTGGAGTATAAAAAGTAGTATAAGAAATATATATAGAGTCATTAAACTGTGACATTATGTAATAAGAGCTTATCGTATGAGCAAATGAGAAAGCGTATTAATATGAAAAACGGTATAAGAGTGTGAACACGTGAGAATGAAATAATAAGAAGGCATAAATTAATAAATTATAAATATAGTAATATTAAATGTGTAATAACAATGTAGACGAAGCGAAAATTAATAATACTTGTAAGAAGATCAACAACTTGTGATGTATCTGAAGAAAACATAGACGTGTATTACATCAAAAGCAACCACCATTACAATGCTGAACATATTAAGCATTACAAAGTTGCGATTAATCGGAAACATATTGAAAATGTTCAAAATTATTCCAAAGTATCAAAAACAGCAATGACAAGTAATTAATAAAGTGGTGTATGTTAAATATAATTATATCAGATTGTAGAAGCGCTATATTGATTTTAAATATTATCGTATTAAAATATCAATATAATTTAGTTATTGCATATAGGATTGAAAATAAATTTTATAGGAATGTATGTTACGCAATTTTTCTTTTAAATTATAAATGTCTCCAAAACTTGATTATATTATTCAAAGATGTTATAGCAGTAATTATTTTGTTTAAGAGAAATTTTAAATAATCAAAAATTAAAATAATAATAAATAAAAATCCTTTTTAATCAATACAATTTTGTGTTAATTTTATATTAAGATATTCTATTAAGTCTGGAATTTTACTGTTTTATTAAAAAATAATTTACAAAAATAATCTTAGTCGCGATTTAATTTTAATTTATTGATTATCATAAAGGTAGTTTTTTAGACGCGGTACATATAAGTAGTCATTGAGAGAAATACACATTGATCTACATAGCGACAGCAGGTAAAAAGGATTACAGGCAAATTGTATTGAAGTATAAACTCATACAATTTCATGGATATAAATTTGCACAATACATTAGTTGCACATAAAAATGACTAGTGGAAACAGGAGGGAAAGAAGAGATAATAGAAATAAAACCCTAACTGCCAATGACTATTCTTATGTTTTTCTGTATAATCCCATTCACCTGCTATTCACCTGTTCGTTACACACCGGTTCTTTCACCCATGCAACCTTTGCGCAGGCTCTACTCTGCTCTGTTACTATCACTCATCCATGAGGAACACCCCGTAGTATCGTCGAATCAGTATAGCGGGGAGCGCTTAACGCGATGCTACTATGCAGTATATTGCGTGGAGCGCTATCCGCGTCTTTCGGCACCGTCGTGCAGATTACGATCTTCTTACTGCAGAACTCCAATATCTCGAGAGTGCTCGCGTCCATGCCACCAGGAGCCGGTTAGTGCGATGCATTTTTTAAGTAGATCACTATGGAGAAATTTATACGCAAATAGTGATAAACGTTTTTTTACATAGAGATATATAAACGTATAGTTTTTTATCATTTCGAGATTATAGTGCTCACTTTTGTATTTAGATTGTGCTTGGATATGCTTCTAATTTAATTGAAATTTTTTGCATTTATTTCCCTTCAATTATTAGCTTGAAACGTCAGAACGCTGCTATCCTTTCAGGGCAGAGAGTTATCTTATTAGGGAAATCGTTCCATTTCGTGACACTTCGATTTTTCGATGCTGTTGCTTGTAACTTGATGTTGACATTATTAACACAAACACGAGTCTACGTTTTACGCGAATAAGTCACATATTCCATAGTGCTGGTATATCGCGCGGTAAATTTTACGCGCGTATACAGATAGCGTGTGTGAATCGGGCAGCGGCAGGCCGCATATACGTGGGGTTCCACGTGCTCGATCGATTCGGAACTGTTCTTTCACATCGTGACACACGTGCACGTGAAAACACAAGCAGTGTGCTCCGTGATCTCATTTCCGCGCGGGGTGCATTCTTCCGTGACCTTGTCAATGGGCTACTAGCTTTATTCGAAATTGAGTTGGTTGCCAGACCAGGCGCCAACCTAAGAGACAGCTTAAGTAATTCAGTGTTCTTATGCAGGTGTGCGCCAGGTAATCGATATTATTATCAGCATGCTTATATACGTACGTACGTGATACTACTATTTTGATTGTGTGGTAAAACACCAATACTTGCTCGATTAGCTTGTCGTAGTTCATTGATATTTTGTAATATTTATAAAATGTGTAAAATAACCATGAAAAATTAAGTTTTTTTAAAACAAGTGTCAAGAGTAAACATTACTCGATAGTCTCGATACCATGTGTCGAGTAGAAATGTCAATGCAATATTCGTGAATTTACGGGAATATCAACGAGAATGCAATGGAATGAGCAGCACGGCGTACGGGGGTTAATAGCGATCAATTCGGTTCATTCTCACCATAGGAACTCCGTTTTCTATTGATTTAACACTACCATCACGTACTAAAAATACTTGAGGTATGCCGCGTGACTGTGAACTCTGCGTATATATGGAATGATTGAATGAAGCTTTCCAACGACAGGAAAAAAATATACATACATCTATATACGTTAATGCAGCGTATACTGTAATTATGTACTGTATTTGTATACGGAACTACTGCATTCTCTTAATCATTGATGACACTGATGAATTTGGCGACAGGAATGAATTACTCGTTCGTAGGTACAAAGTTGCGAAACTATGAACGATCGGATACGTGGAACTTGAACAATATTTCCGTACCGGAAAGTCAAGCGAAGCGTGAAACCAGGTCGTCGTAACAACGCGAAAAAAATTCCGCGAGGAGAATAGATCACGGACGCGTTCCACGTAGTGTCATAATTGATCGATAATTTGAGCTCTTCGCTCATATTGTTGCCCAAAATCTAAACAATTTTAATTTGCAAAATCTAAAATTGTCCAAAGTTCAAAATCAGTTTCACTTCGAATATCGTGCCGTTCGCTAAAATGTAAACTTCTTGCTCTGTTGTCTCACTCTTCTTACTCAGCTGTAGTCTTCAACCATTAAAATAAACCGATAAATATAAAACTTTCAGATCAAGAGTACGTTACTCCCAAATTACTGGAATTCTTAGAATGACATAATAACAACAAAAGTTATGATTTTGATTCGTTGTGTTCCAAGGAAAATAATTTTGTTCACGAATGGATTGTATGACATTTATGATTTTCAATCACGTGATCGCGTGATAAGGAGTCTCTATATTAGTCCTCCGTCTTTATTGTCGCATTTATTATGATCGGCTCATCCTCGGCGGTGTCGTGACATCGCCGATAAGTCGCATGACGGTCGGTCGTTGGCCCCATCGACGAGGTATTCCTCGTGGAAAAGCTTCCGCATACAAGCACCCGTGTTTTCCTGCCCTTCTTGTCTCGCAGAATCGTTACATGAGTTTTCATGGTAGAACACGAGATCCTCTCTCTTGAGTCTTGTAACTCATGGAAATCATTAATATTCATCGTAATTGTAGAACATTAAGAATTCATACTTTACAGAAGGCAAAACTGCGACAATAATTTGAATAATTTAAGATCACGTATTAAGGTATATAACAGCTGCTTCATTGATATTTAAGGTATACAGATATAGCGTTGGTACAGGCAAAGTCAATATTGTAATTTCAGTAATGAATATTTCATTGTGTGTATATTCACCATATATTCGTCTTTTTCGTCGGATCTTATACACGTAACAAAGACAAAGAAATCGATTTTCGCTCATATACAGAAGACGAAGTTATCCTGATCGAACATCTACCGGGACGACGGGTGCATCTCCAAGATTTCTTTTGGACCGGCTTGGAAGACGCGCCGCCGTGGGTGGATCCCAATCAGGGTTTAACTTATTACGAGACAAGAACGATCGTTCACACCGTCACAGTTTATACCCCGACCGATGAGAAGGGCCCGCAAGACCCCATATCTCCTCATCGTCCAGATACTTACAATCCGGAATGCGTCACGTGCATAGAACCGACACCTAGGTTGGACGATGATGAGGATCAGAGCATCGGGGTCCTTATCGGAGATGATCCAGGCCCAAGGTAGGTTAATTATTATAGAATAATATATATTTTTTTACCTTTGACTTTATACATATTTTTAAATTGAAGACTGCAGAGAATTGTCAACAAATGACAAAAAGATATTTTGATAAATAGATTGATATAATAAAGTATCTTTGTTATATTAATCTATAGATATCGTTCTGCAATATGTAACAAAGAATGCTAAATTTGTGTTGATAGGTACTGGCTATTGACAGTTCTTCGACCAGGTGAAGCCGTACCACCCAAAGTCGAGCTTCGTTTGGCTCGCTTGTATCGAGCGGCGTTTTCCAGACAGCAGCAACGGCACCTCGGTCTGCTGTCGACGGATCCACGGTCCCGAAGAGACGCATTGTTACGCGGCCTTATTAATCGAAAGGTAAAATATACGTTTAGATGCTAATTCCTTCCAATATTCTTTTCTTTTCAATATCCATAGAATATACAAGAACGTCTTGGAACTTCGTCCCAAGTGAGAGCCCCGCGAGAAGAGATTCCCGCAAATACAACCGAAGCTCAACCATCCGAATTAACGGTTGGCACCATCGGTAATTTTTCGACTCGCGCAGGAACTGAAGCGAGCGTCCCAAGCTTACAATTAGTCGACAACAAATACTTTTCGAACGTCTCGCAAGTCAAATCTATGAGAATGATCGAAATCCCCAGGCCGAAAAAGATGTTGCTGCCGACATTCGACATCGACGCAACGACCGATAATAACGAAAAAACTGCAAAAGATGATTTCGCTCTGAAGAAGATCATAAAAACGTTGAAAGGAGAAACAAAATCCTTGTCCATACAGAACGATGAATCTATAACCGTCGATCCGACGCACCTCGGTCCCGATAGAGTTGACGATTCCGGCAAACAATCCCCACCAGAATTGGTGCCAAAATTGAATACTGATAGCATCTCCGGAAGCCGATCTAACGATAACAAAAATGCGAGTGCAAATATACGCTCGAGATCGCGTTTCGCGGACGGTTCGATTCCGGGGGTCGTAAAAGTTAGAATGCAGAATACGAGCGTAATCGAGGGCGGCGCTACGAGATTGATCTATTCGGTTCATCTCGACGATAAGCCCGTTCCTGCTGAAACGGCCGCGAGGGATATGGCGCTTCTCTCGCCCCAGGAAGTCGCTCTGGAACTCGGTGCACCGGTGATTATTCAAAGCGAACGTGAGTAAAATAGTAAGTCTTAATTATTCGGAAAAATTTGATAAAATTATAATAAAAAACAAATTATGTTGCATTTTTTTTATAGCTTATCTGAAGGAGAGTAGACCTCTAGCATTATCGCGGAGGAGAGACGCATGGCTGCTAATCGGTGCTGCTGGCGCGGGTGTCGTTTTACTAATCTTGGTTCTCACTGGCTTGATCTTGGCTGCCAAAAGAAAAAGGGCGCACAGCGCTGTTGTTGCACCGCCAAATAAAAGTATTCTTAAGAAGGAACGCGAATACGCAGCCACAACGTCCGGTCTCGATAACGCTGCTTTCTCAACGTCGGAGACAGAAGTCAAGGTACGCAATACGATTTTTATTTTTTAGTCGTGTTAAAAAATCCGAATTAACAGCGCGAGTCAGCGTTGATTTGAATTTCCGTTATATGCAAAGCGTGTGTAACAGAAACGACAAAATATACGTCTGTTAAACCGCATCGTGTGGAATTGCGGAAGTGTCTCGTAAAAGAATACTTCATAATTTTTAAAGTTCTTTCCTTGCGTGATAAAGATTACGGGGGTATTATGGGGAAATAAGCTCGACGCATTAAGACCATTTCGACACGCGAACGATCAACGAAACGACATCGGAAATTACGAGGGGAGACAATTCGGTTCCTCGATGTCAGGACAATATTGATTCTAGCAAAATATTACTCCCACTCCGTCGAGCAAATTGTTACTCTTCGGATCGCATATCATCGTTTCTAATGCGGCTCTTGTTCGCAGACCGATGGTACCAGTCAGCGGCAAACTCCGCGGACTTTATCCCGAACTCCGATCACGCCCGACACGCCCGACAGTTTGGAATTAGGCATTCACGAAGTTTCCAGCGACGACGACGAAGAACCGAGGAAAACTCGCGGTTCGGCCCCTTGGGGTACTCAAGAACACGCAGTTAAGAAAGCAAGGTAATTAACAAAGTTCCTAGCAACTGAATTAAGGACGACTAATCATTAATATGCTAAGTTACATGATCGCATAAGAAAATTAATAATAATACTAATCCAATAATATTAAAATTAATTATATATAATTAATTTTGATATTATTGGATAAAATATATATATACGATAATTGTACATTTTATATATGAAATATAGAGCGTCTCACGGAAGAATGGCGAGAGCGAACGCAATGGACCGAGCCGGGTCACCGGACTCGTTAACCGATCATGTAGAGACACTCGAGTCTCTGGAGAACGGTTATGTGAAACATAAGGAAGAATCCACCGCTTCACCGCGATCTTATTTATCAATGCCATCGTGCAAGCAGTTTCCTAGTATGCGTAGCGTAGAACCACTGTCTAGAGTGTTGGAACCCGTCATGGTAATTTTCGAAAGATGAGCTAAATCATGCCAATCGATATAAATGCTGTCGTATTTTGTACTGATGACAAAATGTGCTCTAGGTCAGGCACTTAGACATCGATTCCCCGGAATTAGTGCGTCACGATAGAGACGACAATATCGACGATACATTCCTCGCAAGAACATCGAGCGCCTCGAAGGATCCTGGAGCTGTAGGACCGATTGTTTGGAATCTTAGCAAGCAGATATTCTCTACAGAAGGTAAACATATTATTTTTTCGGCTCTGTATTTAATATCAATATCTATTATTTAAAAATGCTCTACCAGCGACACTAACGTTTCTCTCAGTATCGATTACGAACGAATAAGTAATAAGTAAAGTAAGTGTACGAATTATTTTAATCGAAAAATACGGCGAAGTTACATCAACTCATTCGTTCGCAATCGATTTGCAAGATGTAAAGAATATTCGTTTCTTCACACAATCTCTCGAAAGATTCAACTACTTTAAAGGTAATGGTACATCCGAAACGGATTTCGATGGAGTGTACCGTCTACCACCCGGACCCGTGGGCCGCGCCAGGAGGAGACTCCACGAGTTGCTCGAGGACTCCTTCAGCCTCTTCGGAAGCAGAGACGTCAAGATCAAAGAGCCGCAACGACCGCCGCAGCCGCCGATCTCCGTCGCATGTACAACGGACACACTCGCGATACTCTCGGAGACCAGAGGCAAATCCGCCCACGTCAGGTACATATCCTTCTTCTTCTTCTACTTCTTCTTCTAACAGGTAATTACAGTTATTAAAGTTCGAAGTTGCTAAATTATTACTAATATCAAATACGCACATTTTTCTATTTTTTAGAACGAATGAGAAATAAGTTTCTGAAATGTAACGAGACTTAAAATAAAAAATTACCTCGCGATATATTTATATACTACTTGTGTATTAAACAAATTATTAAATTAATCGAGTAATAAAAGTGATTGTATATATAATTATGCAGTCCGGTAGCAACGCCAACGATGGAAATGAAAACACGACCCCGTACATCATTGCCGCGTAGAGGCCTGGACGAGGACATCCCGGAAACTGGCCAAACTGAATCGATTCATTCTCGCGGTGCCTGGGGCTCAAGGCCACTCAGCGCGGGTCCATTCCACAGACCGAACTTGCCGGAAGTGGACACCAGGCGTATATTAGCGGATAGCAGGTTACCACCGGAGGATCCTGCGGTACCTTTGATTGCGTCAATCAAAAAAGAACTTGAAAAATTCTCGCCCCAGTAGAGCCCAGTTACAAGTACAATAGGATGCAATATCTATTAGCTTAAGTGCTCGCGAAGTGATATACTCTTAAGTCCAAAGACGATGTAAATATTCAATCAAATTTTTTCCATAAAATTTTATAACTCGACGTCGAAGTTTTCCATTATATGAACTGTAATATGTAGCAAAACAGAACATTTTACACGTATCATATCTACATCGAAAGCATAAACATTATAGTAAGAGGTGGAAAATAAGTCATGTCATAGTTTTGTCGTTCAAAGTCAAATTTGTGCCACCGAATTTAACTTATTAATCAGTCACTGTATATATCATTACATTAAACATAAAATTTTGTATTAAGTTTTTGCAAACAGGTTGAAAAAATTAATACAATACTCATGGATAGAAAATTTGACTATAATTAAATTGTTAAAATATTAATATAAACTCCTGTGACTGATTCGTCCAATATAGACATATATCTATATAACTCAGTTACAGTTATAGACATAACTAATAAAATATGTAATAAACTTACATAATATATATACATAACCTAATATGTGTGTGTCAGTTTTATTAAGACAATTTTACAAAATAATTATGTAAAACATATATACAAAGTAATATAACGAATGTAGAGTCAAGAATTGCTTTTTCAAATAACTTTCACTACTTCCACGATTCGATCGTTATTACAAGAATCTTTGTATGAATGTTCATGATAGAGCTTTAAATCGGGATAGTTATTTGTAAAAGATTGTATATGTTCCGGATGAGTAGGATGAACCTCCATGAAGAGACGTCCGCCAGGTTTTAATGCTTTGGCAGCATATTTTAAGACCGACTTGATCACCTTCAGTCCATCGTCGCCGCCATCCAGTGCCCTGGGATCCTGATAACTATACATAATAAATATATGTTATTAATAATTATTTATATAGAATTCGAAATTGGCAGTCACACTTTGCGCATTACATCCTTAGATCAGGCTGCAGTTCCGGGATCTGCTTTGTTGGCACGTATGGCGGATTACTGATCACAAAATCGAATAGTTTTGAATTTAAATGCACATTATCGGCACCATTCGAGCTGCTCAAAACTTCGATACTCGCATCCGAGTTTAGGTTCGCATGTATTACTGTAACTTGCTTCGTTAAGTTCAAGTTGTCCCGATTTATTGTTGTCAAATCGCAAGCGTGCAGATTCTTGTCGATCGCTGTGAATTTCATCTAGAAAAGTATTATTCTTTATTTCTTCTATCTTGAAGCATTATTCCATTATTTCTTAATTGTTAGAGTTTGCTCCTAGGATACAAATAGCCCAATAAAATTATCATCTCTTACTCCTTTACAAGCATGAGCGACAGCCAGTGATATCGCGCCTGAACCGCAACCGATTTCTATAATTTCGCCACTGTCAGCCTGCAACGAACTCAGTCTTTTTACCACAACATCCACTAGTATTTCGGTCTCTGGCCAAGGAATCAAAATCGGTGGTACAAGTTTCACGGTAATGTCTCGGAAATTCCATTCGCCGATAATGTACTGAACGGGCATCCTGCAAGGACTTGGCATTCATAAGTGAGCACGAAGGT